AGGACATAAGACGGGCTATACATGCTAAGGAATGCAACACCCTTGACAAGGCTATTGAAGTAGCCCTTAAAGAGGAATCTTACCTTGAATCTGAACGAATAAGGAAAGGCCAAAAACCAAAGTTAAGAGTGAACGCCATCGATTCCGAGGAAGAGTACTGCAACTTCTTAAGTACTCCTGATAATAAGGAAGATGTGTTCCAGAAGATGGCTAAAATGATAGAACAAATGCAACAAGCTGTGCAAGAAACGTGCACCAAGAACTTTGAGAAAATGGTTGACCTGATGAAGTTAACCAAATCAGAATCTACAAATAGTGTGAACATGAACAATAGACCTAAGTGTTTTTACTGTCATAAACCTGGACACAGGATCGCTGATTGTTATTCAAGGAAGCGTGCCGAAGAGCGAGATAAAGCAGCACAAGAGAGATCTAGCCAGATTGCTACCGTTGAATTTCTATCTCTGCAGGGAAATGGTGTTCAGTCTTCCAAGGACACTCAGAAGATAGTGGCACATGGCATAGTTTGCGACACCAATGTTTCATTTTTAGTTGACTCTGGAGCCGCTAGCACAATCATGAGTTCAAAGGTCTATCAGAATATACCTAAACGCAAAAGGCCCCAGCTTAAGCCGCCTAAGAAGACCATTTTGCAAGCAGGTGGGCAACTCTTGCTTATGAAGGGTGTTATACCAGTTAGCTTGAAAATTGACGGGCATGTACAGAACTTGGAGGTGGTCGTGGCTGATATTCAATTTGAGGGAATTTTGGGCACAGACTTCCTAGCTGCCTCTGGAGCTGTATTGAACTATCGCCAGTGTAAAATGACTTTTGAGTCAGAGAATCCAGGTAGTTTTGATGATCACCCTATAGACTCAGGAGTGCCTAAAGATCAAGCGAGTGAAGTCAAAGACAGAGAGGTAGATCGACGTGAAAGATTAGGGCCGAGAGACAGATCGGCACATCCCAAGAGATCATCTAGGAAGACAGTTGCGGATCTATCTGGTTTTCCCAACTTCAGAGGGCATAGATGTGCCAGTGACAAAAGATGTTGTAAAGTGCCTAGGCTGAGTGAAGACCACAACCATAGCATTGACAGTACGGATAGGGATCCCAGAACTTACTCAGCTAAGGCACCTTTATCCAAAATTTATAGAATGAGACATTGGAGGACTCCACCCAGACGTGACTTGGATGGTGATTGGAGGAATCATCATTATTCCCCTACAAGGAAGTCTAAACTCGAGAGTTGAGCCTTGAAAGAGACATTTAGCATGAGTATAATTTTATATTCATACTTAACAAATAGCTGAGAGTAAAAACAGAAGTTTTTTTGTACAAAGTAATTAGATATTTGTATTAAATAGATAGTTAGATATTTGGCCTTAAATTTTGAGATACCAGAGTTTAACAAGTTTAAGTTACAAAACTTTCATTGTGCATTGTAGTTGCAGCTAGTTAACCCGGGGTTATACACATTTTGTAAGTTTGTGTTATAGCTAGTTAGGAAAATTTGTTATCTTTTGTGTACTTAGGCTTGGTGTTGTTAACACCAAAATCATTGGATGGGAGGAGTGTAACAAATTTTTACTTTTCAAATTTTCTGTTCTTTGTAGTCCTGTGCCATTTTATCAGTTCGCTTACAGTTAACACATTTGGAAACTGTTTTTCAGTTTGTTTGACAAGTAGTATACTTACATGAATGTATGTGACACTAAAGGAGTAGGCAGAATCATGTAAACTGTTCGATTTTGTGAGATTTCATTTTGCTTTCATTTGTTTACATTTTTCTCATCTTACTTTTGAAGAGCTATCTTGACCTACATTCAATTACTAGTTTTTTCGGTCAATTTCGGCATGATTAAAACCAATGATGATTGGTTTATGTTATATTTATTTAGTTTATACATTTATCTAGTTAATTATATACTAAACATATATTGATGTTACATTAGATAGCACAGATTGTGAGTTCTAAATGAAGCCAGTTATTTTGCACTATTCATATCCTGATTGCGTCATAGTAATTGTACACCAGTCTTGTCCTGTCCAGGGGCCTAGGTATTGCATCAGCCCATTAATCACTTGTTAGGTTCGTGTGCAAAACCTAGTACATGTTACATACATGTCTGGGGTATAAATAGAGACGACCGGGTGACTCAGGAGGCACTTTTCTAGTTGGAACTGAGAGAGGACAGACCCGCGTGCCTCCAGGGATTGACGCTTGATGGACTTAGGCTAATTCTAAGCATATATCTGATGGACTTAGAAGATTTCATCTCACATATTGAGGGACTTAGAGGATTTTACCCTGGTATACTTAGAGGATCTTAGGCAGATTCGACATATACCTGTTGAGGTATTCTACATATACTGAGAGGCACTTTCTAGCTGGAACTGAGAGAGGACAGACCTGCGTGCCTCCAGGGATTGACGCTCGATGGACTTAGGCTAATTCTAAGCATATATCTGATGGACTTAGAAGATTTCATCTCACATATTGAGGGACTTAGAGGATTTTACCCTGCTGGTATACTTAGAGGATCTTAGGCAGATTCGACATACCCGTTGAGGGACTTAGAGGATTTTACCCTGGTATACTTAGAGGATCTTAGGCAGATTCGACATACCCATTGAGGGACTTAGAGGATCTTAGGCAGATTCGACATACCCGTTGAGGGACTTTGAGGATATACTTAGAGGATCTTAGGCAGATTCGACATACCCGTTGAGGGACTTAGAGGATTTTACCCTGGTATACTTAGAGGATCTTAGGCAGATTCGACATACCCGTTGAGGGACTTTGAGGATATACTTAGAGGATCTTAGGCAGATTCGACATACCCATTGAGGGACTTTGAGGATATACTTAGAGGATCTTAGGCAGATTCGACATACCCGTTGAGGGACTTTGAGGATATACTTAGAGGATCTTAGGCAGATTCGACATACCCGTTGAGGGACTTTGAGGATATACTTAGAGGATCTTAGGCAGATTCTACATATACTGGGAGGCACGTACACAACTTTTGATGAGAAGGAACCTCCACGCACCTCTAGAGATTGATGCCTCAGGGACTTAGACAAATTTTGCATACCATTTGATGGACTTAGAGAATTTTATTACCTTGAGGGACTTAGATGAATTCTGCATACCATTTGATGGACATAGAGGATTTTTCGGTCGATACACTTAAGATATTACCTTGAGGGACTTAGCCAATATTCACCATAGTTGCCTGGAGTTTGATGCCCAGAGGAACTTAGGAATATTCACGCATATATTGAGGGACTTAGCCAATATTCCCCAAAGTTGTCTGAAGTTTGATGCCCAGAGGAACTTAGGAATATTTACGTATATATTGAGGGACTTAGCCAATATTCACCATAGTTGCCTGGAGTTTGATGCCCAGAGGAACTTAGGAATATTCACGCATATATTGAGGGACTTAGCCAATATTCACCATAGTTGCCTGGAGTTTGATGCCCAGAGGAACTTAGGAATATTCACGCATATATTGAGGGACTTAGCCAATATTCCCCAAAGTTGTCTGAAGTTTGATGCCCAGAGGAACTTAGGAATATTTACGTATATATTGAGGGACTTAGCCAATATTCACCATAGTTGCCTGGAGTTTGATGCCCAGAGGAACTTAGGAATATTCACGCATATATTGAGGGACTTAGCCAATATTCCCCAAAGTTGTCTGAAGTTTGATGCCCAGAGGAACTTAGGAATATTTACGTATATATTGAGGGACTTAGCCAATATTCACCATAGTTGCCTGGAGTTTGATGCCCAGAGGAACTTAGGAATATTCACGCATATATTGAGGGACTTAGCCAATATTCACCATAGTTGCCTGGAGTTTGATGCCCAGAGGAACTTAGGAATATTCACGTATATATTGAGGGACTAAACCAATATTCACCGTTGCCTGGAGTTTGATGCCCAGAGGAACTTAGGAATATTCACGTATATATTGAGGGACTTAGCCAATATTCACCATAGTTGCCTGGAGTTTGATGCCCAGAGGAACTTAGGAATATTCACGTATATATTGAGGGACTTAGCCAATATTCACCATAGTTGCCTGGAGTTTGATGCCCAGAGGAACTTAGGAATATTCACGTATATATTGAGGGACTTAGCCAATATTCACCATAGTTGTCTGGAGTTTGATGCCCAGAGGAACTTAGGAATATTCACGTATATATTGAGGGACTTAGCCAATATTCACCAAAGTTGCCTGAAGTTGATAGACTTAGAATATTCATCGATAATCTGAAGAACTTAGCCGATTCCATACATCTTCAGTTTGATGGACTTAGAATATTCACAGCCCATTTGATGAACTTAGATTATATCTTCAACTTGGTGGACTTAGAATATTCATCGATAATCTGAAGAACTTAGCAGATTCCATACATCTTCAGTTTGATAGACTTAGAATATTCCCGACTCATTTGATGAACTTAGATTATATCTTCAACTTGGTGGACTTAGAATATTCATCGATAATCTGAAGAACTTAGCAGATTCCATACATCTTCAGTTTGATAGACTTAGAATATTCACAGCCCATTTGGTGAACTTAGTTTATATCGTCAACTTGGTGGACTTAGAATATTCATCGATAATCTGAAGAACTTAGCAGATTCCATACATCTTCAGTTTGATAGACTTAGAATATTTACAGTCCATTTGATGAACTTAGATTATATCTTCAACTTGGTGGACTTAGAATATTCATCGGTAATCTGAAGAACTTAGCTGATTCCATACATCTTCAGTTTGATCGACTTAGAATATTTACAGCCCATTTGGTGAACTTAGTTTATATCTTCAACTTGGTGGACTTGTTGATGAAAAACTATATTAGTGATGAACATTTATATATAGAGATAAATATAGAAATATAATTGCATAAAGGACTTATAATTCGCACCTCTGAAACTGAAACTTAGTATCAATTTGTGTTGTATTATTTTGAGGCGGATGAAGCCAGAATATATATTGTTAAACTTTCATTAATTATTGTGTCTCTTTATTTTCACACGTACATTTAATGTGTACAACGTATCCCCAAAGTGACCTAGCCTAGTCTAAAAACACCCACACTACCCAAATTAGGCTAGCCGTTACAATATACTGAACTATTCTAATTTTAGATCATCTCTTTATTCGAGCGATGTTGGCAAAATCATTGGTTCTCCAGTCATTCGTGTCAATGGAGATTTTCCCGAGCAAGTCATTGCAGCCACTAAGTTGGCCATGGAGTATAGGCAGAGATTCAGAAAAGACATCATCATAGACTTGATGTGTTATCGTCGCTGGGGACACAATGAGATGGATGATCCATCTTTCACGCAACCATTGATGTATGATGTTATCAGAAATCGCAAGAGTATTCCAGACCTTTATGCTGAAAAAGTCATTGTAAGATTTGACTGATTTGATGTTATTTATTTATATTGTGGTAGTCCAAGAGTTGATGTCAGTTGTGTATACTATTAATATCTATATTGGAAACTTACCTACACTTACATAAAGTGGGCTTTTTGCTTTTTTAAGTCTCCCGTTATGGAAAAAAAGAGGAGGGGAGGGGGTCACTGATCTCTGTTGAATTTTATCAGATATAGAAGTTATAATATAGGTGAATCAATGGTCGTTGTTTTTTATATGAGCAATTTGGGCTTTTTATCCCTAAGATTGTTGACAAACCAAAAATATTTGACTATATATAGTCCCACTCCTTTAATTTATATATTGTTTGGAGATTAAAGATATTGAGTTGGGACCCTGTCAGAATCCTTCTTGGTATTAAGTGTTATATTTTGTAGAATGAAGGCCACTGTAGTTCACAAGAGTTAGAGGAAGTGACAGAACAATGGAACAGTCACATCAACCAAGAGATAGCTAAAGTAGACTCACATGTGCCAAAGGTATAAATTATAGTTTAAATCTAAAAATATAATTCATTTAAATTAATACCAATTCCTGTATGGCCATCTGAGTTTTAAAAAGTTCAGATTTCTACATTTTTGCAGAAAATGCAGCTTCAGGGTTACCAATAGAGGGCTTACTATTTACTCGTACTGGATGAAAACATATCAAATGGGATACAATAATGTCAATGATTGTTAAATATTGGAATGTTAACCTCCTAAAATCTCAAAAGATTTTTAAAACTACATGTATATGGCAAAGCCTCTATTGCCATACTATTGCCAAGTATATTCTATTCATTAATTCCCATTTATCCAGAGATAAGTCAGTGTATAATCAATGTCAGTCATGTATTGTTAAAAGTCTTAGCTACATGTTCTGATGCAACCAGGTAGCTCGTAGGAAAGTCCAGCTCTGTCCCCCTTGTGCATTGATTTCATAACTGCATTACTGAATGATACACAAGGTTTAACCATTGTATGAAAATAGGACCCTCTTAGAGGACCAACAACCAATGGTTAAATGGTACATATATTACTTCTTTTTAGGCCAAGCATCTTGAAAGCCAGTGGTCAGGGCTGGTGCAAGCTCCACATGAACTTACAGAGTGGGACACTGGTGTAGCTACAGATGTATTGCAGTATATAGGAGCACGCTCTGTAGCAGTTCCAGAAAGCTTGGTAGGTACCTGTACAGTACACTGATAAATGATACCAGATTGAAAGCCTCTTAATCTCTTCAACTTTATTTTAAGAGTCCTGACTCACCTTTTTAGAGTCCTGACTCACATTTTGAAGTCCTGCCTCACATTTTGAGAGGCCTTTCGTCATATCTTTATAAACATGAATTTAGAATCCATGAATTATTCCCAAAAAGTATAGAAATATATGTTGTATTAATCAACCATATCATGGTACATGTAGACCCTATAGACAATAAAACCTGTCTAATCCGAACTCCTCTGGGACCAAGTGTTTGAATTAGAAGGTGTTCACATTTCAAGGTTTTTCAATATGAAGTTCAAAAGAAGATGACAAATTAGGGACCTAGAAAAAGTGTTCATGTTGAGAAGTGTTTGGATTATATAGGTGTTCAGATATGTTTAAATTTTGAAATAGGATGTCCTCCTGATTTCATTTTAATCAAGTTTTAGCCATTTTTCAAATCCAAACATTTCATAGTCTGTAGCATATCTTGCATATATTCTATTAATTGTTTGTGAGGTTAGGTTGCTATAGTAACTTTGAAGTCTAGCTGATGTTTTAGGCTGACTTACTGGGAAAATGTATTTATCAAGATTTGCATGTGCTAAGGTAAAGTTGGCATCTGTGTTAAGAGTCCTAAAATCTCCAATGGCATCATAGTGGATGGTACATGGGGTGCATAATTCATTAAAAGATATCCAATGTGAATCTTGTGGACGATTTCTTCGGTCAGTTATATATTTTACAAACTCTTCAAAAGTAGGTATTCCTTCTACAATCTCAGCATATGTAGGGTTATGACGATATTTTCGCACCATATTTGATCCATAGCGTTTTCTGTAATAATCTCCTTTGACATCAATGAACTTTGATTTCCAGGCAGATGGAAGTCTTTCTATTGGATCGCGCACAAACATGAATTTGAAAAATTCCCCTTGAATATTTTTCTGGCTCCTGCTATTGAGAAGTTTCAGATGTGTTAGGATCCTCCCTTCGTACCATTTGCTCCAATTTGGTCCTCTTTGACTCAACTGTATATTAGTTTCATTTAAATCATATTTGCTAGCTGTTAGAATCTCCCTCCATGTGGTGCTGGCGACTTTAGGTGTATAGCAATATAGAATCTTTTTCTTCATATCAACATAAATGTTACCATTTGATATTTTCTTTCTAGTTGGGGTTTTCTTTTTTCTCAGTTTCTCCAGTCTTTGACAAGCATTTTCAATCCTTTTTTGTCTCATTTTCATGTATGTTTCAACATCATTCTCAATTATTGCAGCTTGGGTTTGAAGAATATCACTATCCCTGACCTTGACCTTATCATCCCTGACCTTGGGTTGATTGTTGAGATCACCATTTTGATGATGTCTATATGCCTCTTGTGTCAACTTTCCCATTGATGGTCTTAAGATTCTGTTCCTCTGTTTTAGTTTTACATCCCCATCAATAACAAATTTCATTCTGTCCTTGACTTTCTCATCTTTGACCTTGGGTTGATTGTTGATATCACCATTTTGATTATGTCTATATACCTCTTGTGTCAACTTTCCCATTGACAGTTTTACATCCCCATCAATAACAAATTCCAGCTCATCAATTTCTTTTGGACTTTCACGTTTTTCCAAAATATTTCTTTGTTTTGGGATATTCATGTCCTCCCAAAGATGCAGTTCTTTGACACCATTGAAACAAAAGTACATAATTGTAAAGGAAACAATTACATGTAGTATTATCAATATTGTGATTAACTCTGGAATGTTTTTACATTTAAGTTTTTTTCGGAGAAACATATTGTCGTTGTTTTCTATGTAACAATGTCTCTCTTTGTGATATTAAGGTGGGCCAAATTATCACACTCTGCCTTCCTTAATGTATAATCTCAGTCAGTATGTATATTTGTGAGAGTATAATGTAGACAAATTGATGTAGCCAATTTCTCCATTTTGCAAAGTCCTTGTTTTGTGACAGTCTGAAACATATAACATATGTGAAGGTTTGTCATAATTGTTAACAGTAACAAGTTGATTTCAAAATTAGGCACCGGATGTTTCCCAATTGCACTAAATTCATCCATATGTTGTAACTGTATGTGAAACATATCTTAAACTTTTGGATCAATTTTGACTGCCTAACAAAACAAAAAATTATTTTCTGAATTATGATGTTTGCTTTATGAATTGATAATGACAAGTAAAATAATGTATACTTATTCATAAAAAAATTTGTAGTTATTCATGAATTTTGAAAGTTCTTTTATAACAGAAGTAAAAGTATGCATTGCAAAATAATTGTTTTTGCCATTTGGAAAGTTTTATGAAACTTACAGAAACTCTTAGCCCAAATTCTTATATTATACCCATACCTTATAGTAATGTCCATAGACTAAAATATTGTTTCCGGCTATTCAGAAAAAATTCTTAAATGAATTAAAATAATTATTTAATGATGGAAACAGAGCAGTGTTGTCTCCCTGGGGACAGTTTTAGGAACATAAATCAATCAACAGATCCATAAAACTAATACAACTAATATAGACACATGTACAGGGCAATCAATAAGTATTGCTAATTTTGCTATAACTTTTGGTCTGTTTGTTTTTCCTTCATGAAACTTTCACAACATAAGGTACATATATCTGACTTTATTCTATGAAAGTTTCAAGACAATCGTATCAGTATTAACAAAGTTATGGTTATTAAGGTAACCAGTATCATGGATATGGGGGGCAAATTTCTGACGTCACTTTGAACAACATTTTATGTCAATCACTCAATTTCCACACACGGTCATCATTCCATTGAGGATGATTTGGAAATTGGTCAGATGTGATCAAAAATTCTAAAAATTTAATTTTCAGTTCTCATCAGTAAAGCATACTTGCCTAACATTGTCACTAAGTGCCTAATTGTAACAATTGTTTCAGATTATAACATTTTAAAATTATTTTACATCATTTACATCATTTCTATTTTATTCTTTATCCACTATACACTATAACTACACTATAACTTACTTTGTCACCATTACTGTATAACGCCTTTAAAATCTTGGCTCTTGCACTCTTGTACATTGTTTTTTGTCTTTCTGTCTGGGAATGTAAGAGGTTCAAAAGCCTAATATATGTGCCTTCTGGCTCATATGTTTGTTACTTATATGAGCCACTACGTGCAATTTCAACCGTTCTAGTACCCTCTCATTCCCTACACTCTTGCTTTATTCCAGTCTCCTCAAAACATTGCATTTGGTTATTGTTAAACTTTTTGATTTTTATGAATAAACTTTTATCAATAACCTTTTAGGGTTTTAGAGTCTTATGTTCAACATATCATACAACCCAAACCAATAATCTGTTCCATTTGTGCCATTGTGAATTGGTCCAGAAGTGGATTACATGTACCTTTGCATTTGTTTTCAATATGGTTTAACCTCACAGTTAAAAGTGGATTACATGGACCTTTGCATTTGTTTTTAATACGGTTTAACCTCACAGTTAAATTTCAATAGAATTTCCCTTACCTGTACATTAGGATTGAATTTGGATTATCATCACAGCTGAAAGACTGCATTTAATCTTTGCTTGGATCTTTGCTTGGATTGTGGTCAGTAGTGTATCACTTTAGTTTTCCCTGGTAAATACATAAATATGCCACATTGAGCACATATTGTAACTGGGAACCTGCTATTCATGCAATGTCATTCGCATATAAGAGAAAAGATCAGTTTCACCAATTTTGATACAATAGTTCAGATTTTTTTACAGCAGTTGTCATTAATATAGATGTCATACTGGGGCGGATCTGGGAACCAACAAGGGGAGGGGAGGGCCTGAAATACACAAATTTTGCAAGGGGGAGGGGGGGGCTGCTTTCCCCCCCAGTTCTGCCAGTTGCATCCAGAGAGATTTAACTTCCTAATGGTGTTATTCTACTGGGTTTGAAGGTCATTTTTCCAATCAGGTTTTTTAAAACTGTTCGCATTTCCATAATTAGTTTTCACTTTAACAGGTTAAAACAAAAAATCCTCCATTTTTATTTATGATCAGAAAATATTCATAATCCAAGATATAAGATAATAAGGGTAAGCATAATCTTATACCCACCATCCCCCTATTGTGGATTTGTATTTGGTGATTGGGGTTGTTGGTGCATTTTAATTTAAAAAGCATTCATTTTCCATAGAAAAATTATTCTTTTCATCCAACAGCTTTCAATACATTTATTTACTTTCATACATGGTTGATGTCAAAAACCACATTTTGAATAAAAAAGCTTCACATATCACATTTTGATAACATTGTTATCCCACTGAACAAAGTTCGAGAGGGATATAGGAAAGCCGTCCGTCCGTCCGTCCGTCCGTTCGTCCGTTCGTCCGTCTGTCCATCCGTCCGTCTGTTTGTCCGGGCGATAACTCAAATACCGTTTCACGGATTTGATTCAAATCTTATAGGCTTATGCCTTATGGGTGTAGGACCTCTGCTCGAGAAGGAATTTCAATATGGCCACTGAATTCAAAATGGCCGCCATTTTTCGTAAAAAATGTAATCTTTAATAACTCAAATACTAGTTTGCGGATTTGGTTCAAATTTTATACGCTGATGCCTAGGGACACAGTAGATATGTTCGAGTAAAAATTTTCAAGATGGCGGCTAGATTTCAAAATGGCGGCCATTTTTCGTAAAATAACTTAATCTCTGGTAACTCAAATACCAGTGAACGGATTTGGTTCAAATTTTATATGCTTATGCCTAGGGACAAAGGAGCTTTGCTCAAGATGAGATTTTCAAGATGGCCACTGATTGTCAAAATGGCGGCCATTTTTCGTAAAAAAATGTAATCTTTGATAACTCAAATACCAGTGAACAGATTTGGCTCAAATTTTATATGATAATGCCTAGGGACACAATAGATCTGTTCAAGAAAGAATTTTCAAGATGGCGGCTTGATATTCAAAATGGCGGCCATTTTTCGTAAAAAAGGTAATCTTTGATAACTCAAATACCAGTGAACGGATTTGGCTCAAATTTCATATGATGATGCCTAGGGACAAAGGAGATCTGTTCGATAAAGAATTTTCAAGATGGCGGCTGAATTTCAAAATGGACGCCATTTTTCGTAAAAAACGTAATCTTTGATAACTCAATTACCAGTGAACAGATTTGGCTCATTTTTTATATGATGATTTCTAGGGACACAGTAGATTTGTTCGAGAATTGTTTTTCAAGATGGTGGCTGAATTTCAAAATGGTAGCCATTTTTCATAAGAAAAAACGTAATCTTTGATAAGTCAAATACCAGTGAACAGATTTGGTTCAAATTTTATATGCTGATGCCTAGAAACACAGTAGCTCTGTTCGAGAAAAAAATTTTAAGATGGCGGCTGATCTTCAGAATGGCTGCCATTTTTCATTTTCATTTTCGTAATCTTTGGTGACTCAACTGGCGTTCGGTGGGATTTGCTACTCCGTGGAGTTGCTGTTTTTTTAGGACTACAATATGAGCCAAAGTGGTTTAAACTTTATATGGGGTCTTTAAACATATCCACTTGTACACTGCAATTGTAGACTGTGCATCCAACACTACTGAAGATGCATATAGGCAAGAGGTTACAGAAATTGGAGAAAGGAACAGACATAGACTGGGCAACAGCTGAGGCACTTGCTATGGGATCTCTACTTTATCAAGGTAGGTCACCTAGTACTAATACCCTGGGTCGTAATCAGTCAGCAACACTACCCTCTGGTTATTACACAAGATTTTGCAGCAATGATTCCGAGAATTTAATTCTGAAACACTTATGAATCTATTAATGAATCATCCATGTACGGTGAAGATCTTAACTTGACTCACAATTCAGTATTCTTAAATTTATTTCTCCTAGCATATTTTGACACACTAATCTGTCAGCACATTTAAGCACACCACAAGTCATACCAGTTAGCACATTAAATTAAGCACACTGTGATTAGTCATATCAGTAAGCACATATTAGCCCACCAATAGTCTACCATTTAGCACAGTTTAACTCACCATTAGTCATATCAGTAAGCACATATTGGCCCATCAATAGCACATGTTAGCTCGCCATTAGTCATACCAGTAAGCACATATTTGCCCATCAATAGTCATACCAGATAGCACATTTAAGGACAATAATAGTTATACCAAAATGCTCAACATGTATACAGTAACAAATAACTGAGGGTTAATGAGGGTTGAGTCAAAGTGTAGAATTGGTGACATATTGTTATGGTCTCCAACTTTTTTGTGGACAGTGTTCAGTTGTTGTGTGTCGTTCTGTGTTCGGTGTCTGTAACAATTGACAGGTGGTGGCATTTTGCATATTAATGCCTTGTATTACTTTGTTGTAGGTCACAATGTTAGGATAAGTGGGCAAGATGTTGGTAGAGGAACTTTCAGCCACAGACATGCCATGTTGGTTGACCAGAACACTGATGAAATGTACATACCATTGAATGATCTCTCTGCAGAGCAGTCAGGCCATTTAGAGGTATTAGTTGATACCTGCAAGTGTGTAAATCTAAATATGATTGTATAAATGAAATGGGATTAAATGAACTCATCAAAATATGAACATCCTAAATTTGTGATATTTTTCCCACAGGAAATTACACAAAATAAAATAGGAGCTGTGACCACTAGTGTAAATTACCTACATGTAATGAAGAGTTACATAAAATATTGTAGATATGCACATTAGTTTAGAAGAATTGATGATGGACAGCTAATGGTCAGTTGGACAGACAGACAAGTGGTTGATTCCATAGGTTCACCACTTGAACCAAAATAGAATGCTCTTGAAAACTCAATTTCACAAATTGAAAAAATAAGAAAAAGAACCAAAAATATATATTTGTACAAAAATGTGAAAATATTATTGCACCATCTTTATAATTAGAAAACATAACAAGGAGAATAAGAATATATGCTCTATTACCATCATACATTTCTAGATTGCCAACAGTATTCTGTCAGAGGAGGCTGTGCTGGGGTTTGAGTATGGAATGAGTATAGAGAACCCAAGGACACTGGTTATCTGGGAGGCTCAGTTTGGGGACTTCTTCAATGGGGCTCAGATCATTATAGACACCTATGTTACTTCTGGAGAAGGTAATTGTGTTTTAGACCCCATTCTTACTTGCATTAAATTCTACATGTAATTGATTTTGTTTCGTAGTTGAGTGGGTGGAGACATTTTTGTTCCTAAAAAAATCAGCAAATTTAGAATACCCCAAATGAGTCAAAAATCTTGTCTTTCATAAATCCATTTCATTAATGGGCTTAGGTAGGTGATCTAATGAGAGAGATTTCATGTAGAATTTAGTGAGAATTACCCCTTTTCTATACCAGTCTTTAAATCTGGTGATAGCCATAACTTGTAACACACTTTCTTTGGTTTAACTTGTATTTTTATAGCCCGTAGAGTGTTTAATGCTCATACTCTTTTCTTGGTTAATTATAGTCTTCCTACCTTTACTTATTTTGTATTTATAACCTTGACCTCCATAACCTTTACAGCTAAATGGTTGCTGCAGAGTGGACTAGTCATGCTGCTGCCACATGGTATGGATGGGGCAGGTCCGGAACATTCCTCTAGTAAAATAGAACGATTCTTACAAGTTAGTACTTAGTAGTGACTGATAGTAGAGAATATTATTTAAGGTTATTCACCTTCCACCTATGCATTAATTTGTAAATCAATTTGATCACAAACTCTTCCAAGAATCCAGCATTTATATAAAGATGAACTGAACATCCATGTACAGTAACACCTTAAACCTGTCTTATTCGAACACCACTGGAACTGGGTCATAAGTGCTTAAATTGGCAGGTGTTAAATTGGCAGTTGATACATTGGCAGATCTTAAATTGGCAGGTGTTTAATTGGCATTTGATACATTGGCAGATCTTAAATTGGCAGGTGTTAAATTGGCAGGTCTTAAATTGGCAGGTGCTCACATTTCAAGTTATTTTAAATGGAAGTCTATGGCAGATTAAAAAAAGATATTCACATAGAAAAGTTAACAGCAAAAAAAAGAAAATTTGACCAAAAAATGATTTCACATTGAGAGGTGCTCAGCTGAGGGATGTGTTTCAATATACAGGTTTCACTGACTGTAGTAGACAACAAGAGGAGACATTATTTAACACTAAAAAGAGGAGACATGTATAAGCAGTAAAAAATGTCATTCTAAATATGAAATAATCTTCCAGCAATGTGATAGCAAAGAGGATGGTGTAGATGGGGACAATGTTAACATACATATAGTGAACCCAACCACTCCAGCACAATATTTCCATTTACTACGCAGACAGGTGAGTGCACACAAGAGTTAGAAATTACTCACCTGAGATTTTGAAAATAGGCTTGCACCCACCTGAGAATCCATTTGCACCACCCACTTGGAAATGAGAAAAATCATGAAAAATTGGCATATTTTTACCAATTTCGGTCTGACTAGTAAAAATGAGAATTTTGCACCCACTTGAGAAAAAACCTGTGGGGATCAATGCAATGTACATATATGTAAGTGTTCTTAAACTTATTAAAAATGAAATAGTTATACATAAACTCGATAATCCTCCAAGTGTTTTTTTGCATTTTTTGTATTATGTTCATAAATGGACATATCATATCAGAAGTAGCCCATTATAGTAGATGTTAAGGTTTAAAACGTTTTAACCTATCATAATTTTTTCTTTGTAGTCACAATTTATATTCCATGTTTATGTCACCACTAAGAAGTGGTGACATTTTGTTATGGTTTCCGTTTTTTGTGGCTGCGGTTGGTGGTTGGCAATTCACGGGTGGCGGTTGGTGTCTGTAACAAACTTCAATTTTTTCCAAATCCTCTACAAGTTTTCAGAAGTTCAAATCTGACTTTACATTTAATATTTGACCTTTTCAAGATCAAAAAAGGTTAAAAAAGGTCTAAAAGGTCATTTTTTAACTTGCTTCAAATTGACCAAATTTTTTTTCAAAATCATCTACAAGTTATCAGAAGTTCAAATCTGACTAGATTTAAGATTTAACCTTCAATGACCTTCTCAAGGTCAAAGAAAGGTCAAAAGGTATTTTTTCAAATTGCTTCAAGTTGACCAATTTGTTCTCAGAAGTTCAAATCTGACTTTGGATTTAAGATTTCACCTTCAGTGACCTTCTCAGGGTCAAAAAAACTTGCTTCAAATTGATCAATTTTTTTGATTCCAAAATCATCTACAGAGTTCTCAGAAATTCAGATTTGACTTAACATTGAACTAATAATATTGCGAGCAATTATAGTTGGTGACATTTTGTCATGTTAATGTCTTGTCTGTATACTGTATAGTATATAGTTTATAGATATGCTATCTAATTTAAAATCTTATATGTCTTGTTAGGATTTTATTCCAATGAAACCATTTGCCATTTATCACACATTGTATCTTTGTGTGTCCATATTTTCAGCAAATTCGTAATTTCCGCAAACCATTGATTGTGATTGCACCAAAGACATTACTTAGACTGCCAGCTGCTGTGTCTTCCCTCAGCGATATGGCCCCAGGGAGCACATTCAAACCAATCATCGGGGACAATTCCGTCCAATCATCTGATGTAGAGAGGGTAATCTTCTGCTCAGGAAAACATTATTATGCCCTAGAGAATCACCGGGAAAAAATCAAGGCCAAAAATACAGCCATCGTCAGAGTAGAGGTATCAGTCAGAGTTAATTCTTTCTTCGATTTAAATATCAGAAAATTCTGGTCTCTGTTGGTAAACTTAGATATATTAGCTGAATTTTGATGTCATACTTTGCAGGTAACATTTTCTCTCAATTCAAATATATACAGTAAAACCTGTATATAGTGAACACCTATGAAGCCACAAAAAGTGTTCACTACAGAGAGGGAATTTCATGCAGAAGTCCATTCAAAATGTGTTTTGAAGTGGTGTTTTCTAAGTATAGGTGTTCACTAGTGAGAGGTGTTCACTAAGACAGGTTTTATAGGAAGACTTAAGATATAACAATTTTCTTTGGTGTTTATAGGTACTAGACTTATTTGTTGTCATTCATTTTCCAGTCACTGTGTCCCTTCCCTACAGAACAGCTGCAACAAGAAATAAAGAACTACACAAATGCCAAAGGTAGGCCATACGACGTATTATTTTCAATGATAGTAATTTCATTTACGTCTGTAAAGACTGTCATTAGGGAGGTTAAGTTGTACTAAAACCATTTTACTCGATTTAGATATATTTATACCATCTTACCGTATGATGGCCACACTTTATGATGGTGAACCATCAACTATTCCAAAAGTTCATTTTATCATGATATTGGGGATATAAAGTCAGCACGTGTCTGTCTTCGCGGCAAAACTGATTTCATTTTCAGAGCAGAAACTTTACGTCACGTGACATGATGTGTGTGGTCAATCAATTTGTGAAGTTCAATCAATTAAAAATATTTATTTGGCTATTGGAATGTGTGCAAATGTGAAACTAATGTTTATTGCCACTTTGGTTCAGCCTTTGTAGTAGTTTGCAACAACAATTTTTGATTTAGCATCAGAATAACTTTGCATGCGATACGTCATGGTCCGGTGACCTCAAAAAGTGCGTAAAAATAGCAACCTTTCAGAGGTTGACAGTCTTATCTTAATAAATCGTGTTGTGTGGGGAGATGTCACAAGCTTTGTAGTCAAAATAACAAAAGGGATGCTATTTGTGCTAAGAACAAGATAATAAGAGATTCTTCATTTGGTTTTAGTACAACTTTAAGTAAGCAATGTTTTGAAATATTTGTATGTGAAATGTGTAAAATTATTTTTGTTGCAAGAAGTCTACAGTTTGGCCATACTTCCATGATTTCTCTCTAAATGTATTGTTAAAACATGATTTGTAATTTGTGTTTTAGAATATCTATGGTGCCAAGAGGAACAACAAAACAGTGGGGCCTGGAGTTTCATGGCACCACGTTTCAGGAACCTCCTCAATACAAATGTAAGAAAACGTATTTGTATATTTTTGTTCCCTTGCATGATTAAAGCAGTCTTCTGACCCAAGTAGGTAATCTGAACTAAATTAGAATATGTAACGCCATCTACAGTATATCAGAAGATATGCATTGAGAATAAAGCTGGTGTGGAGAAACCTACAAGAATAAATTAACATGGAGAATAAATTAACATGTAGAATAAATTAACATGTAGAATAAATTAACATGTGGCATGGTTTCTACATTTCAGTTGAGATATGTTGGTCGTGGTCCATTAAGCATGCCAGCTGTTGGAGTTGGTGCCTGGCACCAGAAAGAGGCTGAGGATATTATATTGAATGCATTTCAACCAGACAAATCTTCATGATGGACATTGTCATAGATATTAATTCATAATATGATAATTATCATGGATATGTTTATATAATCTTAAATATCATATCATCAAATAATGGATGAAATTGATGAGCATAATTATGAGGAACATGTGATGTAACTATCATGTATAGGTTTGATACATTATTATTTGGGAGGGAGGCGATGATTGCTTACATTGGTTATTGTTAGATCATTTACCTCAGGTGAAATACTGGTTACTCGATTGTGCTAATTAGTATAATATATAACATATTGACGCATATTATAAGCAAAATTTGATTTCACAGGTTCAAAATTTTATTGAATAAATAATTTGAATATTCATGTTGATTTACTTTCCTGGGAGAATATAAATCGGGAGATTGTGGATTCAATTCCCACCGAGTAGGAATGACTTTTTCACATCAGCCCTTAGCATAGGATTTGATCCTATGTTTCAAATTAACTAGTTCACTATAGTGCATATGATACACTAGTCATCATTATTATTTCATAGAGTAAGCAGATGAGAAAAAAACTAAATGAATTATGTCACACAATATACTAGGATAAGCTAAGTAAATTATGCAGGGTGGGAAAATAAAGTTATTGTATTAAAGCTAAATGAATTTCCAAATTTTGGTATAACCCTAAATACTTCTGGGAATGATACAAAGTGTCCCATTTTTTATTGCCCACCCTGTATTATGGTCACTTTTTGTATTTTAATATACAGAGTGTGCAAAAAACATCCATAATTTTCTCTTTCAATTGATGCAGGAATAATCACATTTGCAATTATTCCTGAAATGAGATGAATAATGAGTATTAGGTTGTTTTTTTAATAATAAAGGTTAAAATATATGAATGAAAATATACAAATTGATAATATCAGTAGCAACAGTTTTACAATGAGTGATATTAGTCATGTATCCAGTTGATTGACATATTATTCAGTCTGTCAGAGAAACACAGAGGGAAGGGTGTTCGGTATATTCTGCAATTAGTTCAAGATTAAAAATGAGGCAAATAAGTGTGATGAAGAAAAACTGATTCATCATCAAGAAAAAAGGAGAAAAATCATGAGAAATCTGACTGTACTATTCCGAGATCTTATTTTTGGTAAGGAAGATCATAAAGGCGATAGATTCGAGCCCACTTAAATAACTTTTTGGAATCTCCTTAAAGACTCAGATTAATACTTTCCCTTGTCAAAAATCGGACTTTTGGCTCATTCTTTTTTCACCCAGATTATAGGCCCTTTCCATCTCGACGTTGAGCCAGTCCATGTTATCTTCATATTTGGTCTCAATACCCTTCCAATACTGTCATTTTTATTACAAATATCAATCACAGCAATGTTAGCACTATACACATGCTTAACATTACATGCCTCTGACTGACTATAGCGGTCAATCCGGTGTAAAAGAAATTATGGTCCCCTGGGGATTATGGTCCCCTTTCCTTACGGCATTTACTTGCCCTGACTGTGTAAAAATAATAAGGAAAGTAATTGTAATTAGGTCAGCATATAAATCAATTAGACCAAACTTTTACACAGGTACTATTATTTGGAGCCATGACCAATACCAGTGTCAAACCGTTGCTTTGAATATTATCCTGAGACATGTATATTTTCAATTAGACCTCAAGTGTTTGTTGAACTTTCTTTTTCAGAAACCTTTGAAGATTTATTTATCCAGTTTCAGAAGCAATTGCAGAATTTATTCCTCCATCTCGATCAAAGGTATTGAAAAATATGTATTATTGAAAAAGATATTGCCAAATAAAAATGGACGTTTTTGGCCCACGATGTATATGGTATTTCCAAACAATTGGCAGCTAACTATAAAGAAAATATATAGTGAGAAATAAATAAACATCTTAAGTAGACATTTCTGTTGTACACTCTATACATGTTTGATGCCTTTTACATACTTTATTCACCAGTTTCTTTTTTAACAAAAACTCACGTTTTCAAACTACATTTCTTTTTTAAGGTTTAGACCACAGAAAACATCATCAAGCCTATGTTTGCCCATACCCATGTTTGCCCATACCCATGTTTTCCCATACCCATGTTTTCCCATACCCATGTTTTATGTTATTCATGTTTTTATGAGTAGTATAGAGAAGGGCGTTACTAGTTTATAAAATAACATGTAAGTCAGTGCTGAGTCAAAAAGACAGCTGAGGCAATCACTTGATCTACCTGTTGACGTCAAATGTTGATAATTAATCCATAAATAAATAATATAGATAAATACGAGGGGTGATCAATAAGTAATGGACACTTTTTTACACAGATACTTTTTATAGACCAAAACCCTTTGATTTTCCTACCAGTGATGCATCATTCAATTATCTATCAATTCTGAAGATTTGAAGACAAAATATATAATAGATATTGATATATCAGTATTTCCATGAAGGAGGTACAGGTACCCTGGGACCGACATTTACGTCACATATTCAGATTTTGGCCAGTTTGGTAAATTTCAGTTAGATTTGAACGTTTTATATGCAACAAGTGTTGTGTTGTTTAAAATTTTTTTGCTGACTGGTAACACATAAACACAAAGTATTGTAATGTCAGAGTGTTGTATGGAAGGCGTTTGCAGGTCAATTTGGAAAAGCATTGAGCCCTTGGCCAATGCACCATATTGTCCAGATCTGCTCACATGTGACTTGTTTATTTCTATACTACTTATTTCTATAGAGAAAGGACGCAGGTTTATTGACATTGATGAAATAAAACAAGCCGTGCAACTGCATCTTGCTACCATGTCAGGGAATGGATTCAGCCTTGTCTCACAATCTTGAGTTAAGAGGATGAGGAATTGTGTACATGAAGCACTTGATGGAACCTATTTAGAGGGCCCTGTGGAATGAATGTGGCATGAATACCACATAGTGATGATAAAATATTCAAAATCAACTATGGCATAACAAAATGGGGTAATTCATGACCATAATGGTTTGTTTTGTTCAGCCTGCATTCAACTGTATTGCATGTTAAACAATCTAAAATAGCTTCAGAATATGTGACGTAAATGTCGGTCCCGGGGTACCTGTACCTCCTTCACGGAAATAAGGATATATCAACATGTAATATATATATTGTCTCCAAATCTTCAGAGTTGATAGATAATTGAATGATGTATCATTGGTAAAAAAACCGAAGGGATTGGTCTATAAAAAGCATCTGTGTAAAAAAGCGTCCATTACTTATTGATAACTGCGATATTTATCTATATTATTTACTTTACTTATTTACATATGCGCCCTAGTGATAGGTATGGTTGGCTTACCCGCCCAAAGAATACACGTGTAGTTAACGGGTGTGTAAGCGTTAATTACGCCCGTGTAGACGTGAAATTACGCCTGTGCAGACGTAATCCACGCCCGTGTAAACGTTAAATACGCATGTGTAGGCGTTAATTACGCCCGTCAAGGCGTTAATTACGCCCGTTAAGAAGTGAATTTTATACGCGTTAAAACAATTACAGGCGTAAACTAACGGCGTTAAAATGTTCAATAGCGGGCGTCAAGACATTATCTAACACCCGTTGAAAAACATCTATACTATGGCTGGCCATCTGGACCAATGTATCGTCATACTTTTAACGCTGTAAAATCTACTTTTAACGCCGTAAAAACAATTTTATACGCCGTAAAGAATTACTTTTACGCCGTTAAAAACGATTTTGTACGCTGTTGAAATTCATTTTGAACGGTGTCAAAAATAATTTTTAACGCCGTAAAAACGGTTCTATACGACGTAAAGAATTACTTTTTTACGCCGTTAAAAAACATTTTGTACGCCGTAAAAAATTATTTTTTACGCCGTTAAAAATTATTTTTTACGCCGTTAAAAATTATTTTTTACGCCGTTAAAAATTATTTTTTACGCCGTTAAAAATTATTTTTTACGCCGTTAAAAATTATTTTTCACGCCGTTAAAAATTACTTTTTACGCCGTAAAGAATCATTTTTTACGCCGTCAAAACTGATTTTTTACGCCTTTCAAAATTGCGAACGTACAGAACATTGTCAATCATTTGCGAAAAAATATTTAAATAATGAAAACTCGATGTATATCAAATTCCCGGGATAGTTGTTATTATATGATAGTTTTAGTCTTCCATACAACAAAATGCGTCTGGCAAATACAAATTCCAATATAAATGACAAATGTGACATGTACAGTGACAGAAAAATAGGGTTTTGGATTTATATCAATCAGTCGGTAAGTCGAACATACACGTTCGTTTGTTCAATGAATACCAGATTGTAACGCTGGTTTTAATTGGCTGCCAGCTATACTTTTTAACGGCGTAAAAATCAGTTTTGACGCCGTACAAAATAATTTTTAACGGCGTAAAATTCGGTTTTTACGGCGTACAAAATCGTTTTTAACGGCGTAAAAAGTAATTCTTTACGGCGTATAAAATCGTTTTAACGGCGTTAAAATTTTTTTTTGACGCCGTTCAAAATTACTTTTTACGCGTACATAATTATTTTTGACGCCGTAAAAAAATCAATTTTGACGGCGTACAAAACCGTTTTTAGCGGCGTTAAAAGTAATTCTTTACGGCGTATAAAATCGTTTTTACGGCGTTAAAAGTATGACGATACATTGGTCCAGATGGCCAACCATACTATACGCCCGTCGAGTTCATTTTAGCGCCCTGAATTATGAACCAATCAGCATCTTGCTTACATGATGATACAATGCATTCGAGCTAAAAGTGCAACTCCAAGATCCTTGTGCAAGTTAATACGGCATACTCATGATTGTGCCAGGAACAACTGCAATTGAAGGCATATGAAATATTATTTCTTTTCTGGGTATCTCGGTGTAATATTTGTGCAAATGTGAAAGATCATATATTAAATGAGTTATGTATTCCTGGAAATAACATGTAACTATAAAGACGGCTGCATAAAGATTCCAAAAAGTACACATCTCCCTAACACCAAATTTGAACATATCTTGGCTAGGTATACTAGGTATATAGGCTCATCTGACATTTTCAAAAATGCCAGATCTGCAGGATATAGTCTAGAGTCAATTTGCAGTTGATCAGATACTATAATTCTAGTATCTGAACACATCCTTTAGAGGGATACATTAGCGATCTGACTGTATAGTGAGACTGTAAGCTGCAATGCGTGTGAGCTTAATAAGTCCCTACCTCTGAAGCCGACGCCTAGATTGGAGAATTATCAAAAAATCATCGTATTTAGAAACCAAACATGTGTACCTTCTCAAAATATACTGCAATTTTGTCGTTTCTACAATGGGTGTTGATAACTGCCAACACAGTACATGTCTCTTCAATTTGCCTTTTAATTTGCTCTAAAAATTGAATGCTTCTTTGGTTAAATCTAACAATCGTGAACGAATATTTAAGGACTTCAATGCAACACACTAAAATGTAAGCAGGCTTCTGATTGTTATTTACTTGCGCAAGGATCTTGAAGTTGATCTTTTAGCAAGGATGCATTAAATCATTATGTAAGTAAGGTTCTGATTGGTTCATAATTTACGGCGCTAAAAATAAACTCGACGGGCGTGAAGATTTTTCTCAGTGCGTGTAAAATAACCGTCTTAACGCTCGTAATTAATCATTTTAACGCCGTAAGTTCATGCCTGTAAATGTTATCTGAACGCCCGTAGAATTCACTTCTTCACAGGCGTAATTTTTCGTCTGCACGGGCGTAATTTTACATCTGCACGAGCGTAATTAACGCCTACACACCCGTTAACTACATGTGCATTCTTTGGGCGGGTAAGCCAACCATAGATAGGTGGCGTTGTTCGCGCGCGCTAGTCTACTGCCTGCCACACGGTATCGCGTGTATCGCTATTGTTATCACCTTTTGGGAATAGCTCATTCACGGTCTCATTCTTCGATAAATATACATCTCTTAAAGATTGGAAGAACATAAAGGGCAAATTACACAATGTGCAAGTAAATAATATAGATAAATATCGCAGTGACAGATTATTTACTCAATATATTTACTAACATCGCAATCTATATTATTTATTTATGGATTAATTATCAACATTTGACGTCAACAGGTAGATGAAATGATTGCCTCAGCAGTTCTTTAATTGACTCAGCATTGACTTACATGTTATTTTAAAAACTGGTAGCGCCCCTCTCTATACTACTGTTATAAACTTTATTAAAACTTAAAAGTGATAAAATTTTTATCATCTACAAATAAAATATTGGCTTTGGCCGAAAGAGAGGTCCTAAGGGAAGCCAAAATGTATTGAATCGGATGTTAAAGTAGTGATATATACAAACCGATTTAACAGCTTATATTTGTAGAGTTCAATCTTTAATGAGACAATATTTTGATCAATAGTATCTAAACCTCTAAAAAAGTCTATTCTATATTCAGCGTTAATGATTTCTTTAACCATTCAGCAATAACGATTTCCCAAAGCCTTTATTTCGATACAACATTTTGTATTGAACCTGATCACTGCAAACTTTTTCCAACCCTTTAGAAATAATACAAATATAAGATAAGTTTGTTGTACTTTGATACATTATGCGTCCGTTCTTTACGGAGATTCCAATTTTTTAAAAACTTTTTCGGAAACACACTTTTGTAGTGCTTTATTAAAAATATGTATTAGGGTAATAATTTCACTTCACTCTCTTCACTTTAACTTCACGCAGATTAAAAAAAGACTCATATGGTAATTAATATGAATATAATTAAAAAACGCAGAAAGTATGATTGATTGATGAACCTCTTTGATTCTTTTTCCGAGATCGCTTCTTCGATAATAAGTAAGGAGTCTAATCCTCCGTCGAGCGTTCTTTACGTAAACCGTTTCGTGTTTCGCCTTAATTATGGCAATTTCTATACAATAGAGGTATATCTCCAGTTCTATACTAATTGATCAAAAATGATTGAACAATGATTTTCCCTATCATTCAGTTTTTAACTGTTGATATATAATTCTAAATTTACATGGTGCCTCGATGGTATTTAGGAATTATCTCAAAATTAGAAATTAAGAATTGCGGAGAATTCTGGGCATGCGAAATTGAGTACTCACTATATATAATTGTATACTTGACGTGCCAAAATCGATATATAGTATACAATAGCTATCATTTTGCTATTATTGTCACGTGCCGTCACGCAATCAGGAACCATACCCATACAACAGGTAATCAGTCTCTTACGGAGTCGTGGTATTTGAATACCTTAAGTGATACATCTACGAAGATGGGAGAAATTTGACTAAAATGACAAAAACAAGAACAATGTATATATCTGATAGATCTATATTGCGGATATGGATTACAGTGGAAGTGTAACAAGGGGATAAACATGATCACTGATATACAAATACAGTTGTCTGTATTTTTATTGTTCACCGTTACGTCCACTTATGCAAGTGAGTATATTTCCATGTTTTTCTATTCCATTTTTATCAAATTTTGTGTTTTTGATCACCATTTTCGTGACATTGTATATATTTTCGTGATGATCATATAGGTAGTATTTACGAAGTCAACTGACGGTTAAACCTTTTTATGACCAATTCATTAAAATATGCTCGATTCTCTTGCTTATGGCCGGTTTTAACCCTATTTACAAACATAACGTTACATAATGGTTATGTAATCTATTGCGTAGGATTATATAATTATCATAATTTGCCAACAAATACATGATCTGTTATGTCAACTATTTACTAGACAGAGTATAGTATATTATTGCCTAACCTCGAGTAGCCAGGAAACCGGAATGATCCAGGTACATAAAATATGAATGGATTATATAGTGACAGGTGCTATTTACAGGGTGGTCCAGAAAAAATGGGACACTCGTATTTCGAAAATAGATATTGATTTTCTTGATGAAAACATGACATATTATATGCCAGTGGATAAGGAATTTACTTATCTTTAATTTGGTGTACCATGAGTTCAAATGTATTATAATGTCTGTCAACCAGTGTCCATAATATAAATGACGTCATTTTCGTTTCAAAACAGGTTTTCCGAAACTTGCAAAAACCAATTTTTTGTCAACTTGATTTACATAAACAGACGCTCAATATGTCCACCATTTTGATCAATTATAGCCCTCGATTTTGGCCTAAACTGGTCAAATGCATCATTGACATGCTGTCGAGACGGTGAATTAGAATTTTCAATAATTCTGTCCCTAAGGGACTGAGTAGCTGTAAAGGGTTCATGGTAAACCAATTCTGTTAGTTCTCCAAATACGCGATAGTCGCAGACATTGACATCGGATGATCCAATTATGTTGTTTTAGGACCATCCTGATATGAGCTCATTTTCGAATCTTTACATTTTACAACAAGATGGGGTTCCAAGCAATAGATCTCACAAGAGTGTCAAATGTTTAAAGGAAAATGTGCCTAGATTCATTCCCCTTAATCACTGCCTTGCCCAGATCACCCGACTACCAAACGTCTGCGACTGCCACATATGGGAAGGACTGACAGAATTGGTATACCATAAATCCTTAAGATCTATTCAGTCCCTTAGGACATAATTATTGAGAAGTGAAATTCATTGTCTCAACAGCATATCAATGATGCTATTGACCAATTTAGGCCAAAATTTAGAGCTACATACAATTGCATGAAATTTGAGAATTAATCTGACTTTGATTTCACATATTTAAATGTTAGTAAATAGTTTTAACAATAGTTTTGAGTGGACTTATTTCCAGTTATTGGACATATAATCATTCAGAAAGTATCATAAGTATGTTGTTAAATGAAAGTGATTTACTCGATGTCAACATGAAGAGTTTGTGTATACTAATTAACATGACTCAATGACTTTACACTCTACTAAACCCAATTTATTCTGTAATGAAATGGTATTATACATATATTTGGGTTCTTGTGCCACACGCATATTTTTGATACTCAAATTATTCATTTTTAGCAGTGAGAGCAGTGACTACCTGCTTTACCTGCCATCTTTCTTTGATTTGACAAATGATTTACCTTGTCATTACCATAATTGTTTTCAGTGGGGACTTGTCTGTGTATTCACATAACTTTACATTTGATAGAGGATGATACAGTTTCTTTGTCACATCCTTGGACTGAGTTACCCTTTTATAGTGTCAGAGACCATAATGATTTTATCGAGTTGGTTCCTAATGGTAATATGATAATTACATTTGAAAACAAACTTTTCAATCCAATTGAGATTAGAGGCGATGATGAGGATACACCAGGTTATGATGATATTTCTTATGATTATATGTCAAAATGTGATTATCTTACCCTGACTGAACTGAATAACTCAATGAATGCCAAGAATTTATTAGACATGTCTCTTATACATAGCAATATACGCAGTTTATCAGCAAACCAATGGAAATTAACAAACATGATTTCTGCTATTGACAAGACCATTTCAGTAATAGCACTTTCAGAAACATGGCTCTATAAGGACCAGGAATCATATTTTTCCAAATTCTTGAATTACAATGGTCACTTTAAATCACGCAACACGAGAGGAGGTGGGGTAGGCATTTATGTTCATAATTCCATGACTATTATTGAAAGACCTGATCTCAAATTTAACAATAATGACTGTGATGTGATAACTATTGAGATTGTTATGGAAAATAGCAAAAATGTATAATGTTGATGTTGAAGATTTCAATAATGATCTCAACACTTATCTATCTCAACTTTCATTGGAGAATAAAATTTGCTATGTCACTGGTGACTTTAATATTGACTTATTTAAAGTAGCTCAGCATATTCCTACGCAGAATTTTTTATAATATAATGACTTCATTTAACCTAGTTCCCCTGATCTACAAAGCAACAAGAGTCACATCAACTTCTGCCACTCTTATTGATAACATATTTACAAATGACTCTAAGGCAGACTCATGTGGTATAATTTTTTACGATATTTCAGACCATTTTCCTGTTTATGCCTCTTGTAAAAAACATGTTAATAGAATAAAAAACATCAAAGTCAAACAGCGAAAATATACTGACCCAAATATTCAACTATTTAAAGAATTACTTTCAAGTGAAAATTGGAATGAGGTTATAAGTAATAATGATTCTAATGCGTCATATAATATATTTGAAGATATTTCAACTAAACACTATGATAGATGCTTTCCTCTTAAAACTACTATAAAAAGGATCTATAATAATAAACCGTGGGTCACTTCTGCCATTCTTACTTCCATCAGGAACAAAAGCAAATTATATAAAAAGGTCCTTAGAAATCCTTCCCAACCAAATAAAATCAATTACAAAACTTATGCAAAAACCTTAAAGAGAATAATTAAAAACTCTCAGAAAATGTACTACAACAATAGATTTCAAAAAACCCAAGGTAATATTAAAGCTAACTGGCAAATTTTAAATGAATTACTTCAAAGGAAAAATAAATCAACCAATATTTCTGAATCTTTTCTTCACAATAACATTGAAATTACAGACAAACAGCAAATTGCAAATCAATTTAACAACTTTTTTCAACTGTAGGTGAGAATCTTGCTTCAAAAATCCCCAAATCAAAAAAGAACCCACTTGATTTCATGCAGAACTTAGGTCAAACAGAATCTACTCTATTTCTTAATCCAATATCTCATGATGAAATCCAAACTGAAATAAATAATCTGAAAAATTCAGCTGCTGGTCTTGATGACTTTAAGCCGTTTGTCGTAAAGGAGTGTGGTAACACACTCTTACAGCCCCTTTTGCATATATTTAATCTATCGTTTAGCAATGGTATATTTCCAGATCATTTAAAAGCCGCCAAAGTCATTCCAATTTATAAAAATATAATGACAAATTATTTACAAATTATCGCCCCATTTCTGTCCTTCCTGTATTCTCTAAACTACTTGAAAAATGAATGCATAGGAGATTTTCTACTTTTATTGACAAAATGGAAATTTTATATTCTAATCAATTTGGATTTAGAGAAAAGAAGTCAACTTTTATGGCTGTTCTAAATTTTGTTGAAAAAATAAGAAAATCTATTGATCTCGGAGAATACTCAATTGGCCTATTTTTAGATTTTTCCAAGGCATTTGACACTATCGACCATGAAATTCTTTTTCAAAAATTATATTTTTATGGTATACGTGGCGTATCACTTGACTTGGTAAAAAGTTATTTCAAAAATAGAATTCAAAGAACTTCATACAAAGATGTTATTTCTGAGCCAAATACCATTAACTGTGGAATCCCTCAAGGCTCCATACTAGGTCCCCTTTTCTTCATTGTTTATATTAATGACATATACTTATCATCTCCAAGGTTATTTTTTGTTCTTTAGATGACACTAATATATTGATAAATGGCAAAAATCTAAATGAACTCAATGATATATTGAACACCGAGCTAAAACATATTGAAGAATGGCTGGTGGCTAATAGACTTTCTATAAACATTTCTAAAACCAAATACATCATTTTTACGTCAAGACAGAAGCACTATGATCCAAGTAACTTCAAAATATATCTCAATGACAATAAACTCGAACAAGTTTCAACGATCAGTTTTTTAGGCATTATAATTGACCAACATTTGACATGGAAAGATCACATATCTTCAGTTAATATGAAAATTTCAAGGACCATAGGTATTTTGTACAAGATTAAGCATATCTTAAACATTCAAGGGTTTACAAGTATTTACTACTCCTTGATCTATTCATATCTAATATATGGTAATCTTGTTTGGGGGGATGCAAATCCTACATCAATAAATCCACTTCACTTGTCCCAGAAAAGGTTTGTACGTCTTGCAACAAATAGTGACTTTAGAGCACATTCTTCTCCACTTTTTGAAATGTTAAAACTTATTACTATTTTTGACATTAATAAGCAAGCGAAATGTTTATTTATGTTCAAATGGAAAAATGACTTAGATAACTATAGGAGTATATACCCTCGTCTCTTTACAACAGTTCATGAAAGAAATCCTTATAACACCAGAAATAGAATGACCTATGATCAACCTAAATTTCGCACAAATTATGGTAAATCATCTATATCCATTTCAGTACCCCAGCTTTGGAACAAATTACCAGAAAGACTTAAACAAATAAAAAGCCTCTATTCATTTAAAAGAGAACTAAAAAAACTATTTTTGGAAACATACTAACTCAATTGATATTTTGCTGTCTCTTTATCACCCATTGCCCTCACCATGCTTTCTCTCGTGTATGCTCTTTTGGTTTCTTCAAAGAACAAAACTGCTCTCAATATGATTGCTCAGTATATCTGACCCATATGGTAACGTTTCAATCACATACAGTTATGCTGTTTTTGTGGTTTTTTTTGTTTTTTTTTGTTGTTGTTTACTAAACTGACTTATATTTCCTATAAGCTCTGCTGTACCCCCTGATTTTGCCTCTGTTCCAAATAATGTTCAAACAGGGTGGTCCAAAAAAAAGTGAACCCCTGCAACAGGCTACATTTTTCTTAATACATGCATGAATTGGCTCATATTATCACATGTTGTAGAGAAAGGTCTAAAATTTTGGTTGATGCCATAATTTATTCTCAGTCTTAAATTTTGAAGAAATTACAAGCGTTTAACAAACATGCCTGGAAATTAGATATTGTACAAAATTTTACAAATGTGATTCACTGAAATTGTTGAAACACATTGGGTGATCTTAAACAGCTTTCAGTTAGAGATACAAGTTTAAAACCCTACCATATGACAAAAGGGACACTATCCAAGCAGAAAACACATTTCACACTTTCATTGATCATTTTGAAGCATTTTTAACTGTTCAACAGTTCAGGGGTATGTTACCTACACCAACAGTTAGAGGGGGGCCTCTTATGGAAGGAAGTTGCCCCCTGTGACCAGGAATCTGATAACCCCTTCATCAAATATCTTTAAAAAATCAAAAGAAAATTCAATATTCAATGTTTTGAGCCATATATCATTAGAATTGGTCCATGATTTATGAAGATATTGACATTTCAAGATCATATAGGGGTATGTTCATGATTTCACTGGAAAATGTTTTCGTCTGTGGAAGCTTAGCACATCTCTTTGGATCACAATAACTTTGCAACTAACAAATGTGGAATGCTAGTTTTAAGCCATAATGTGCAGGATTTAAAATTGAACAAAGTCAGAAAATATTAGTTCTTTAAGACTGCAGCTTAAAAAATTCTCAGGGGAAAGGTGTTAAAGGGTTGAAGAATCGCGGATATTGAAAATCACAATTTGTCCATTTTCAGTAATGTTTTGTTAGGGCTTATAATTTCTGCAAATTTCAAGACTAAGTAAAATGTATGGTACCAACATAAATTTTAGACCTTCCTCTACAACATGTCAAAATAAAAAAGAATTCCTGCAAGTAATAAGGGAAATATGGCCAGTTGCAGGGGTTCACTTTTTTTTGGACCACCCTGTACATTGTAAGTATATTTGCACTCATTGGTATAATTGTATTCAAGAACACTTTTGACATTATGCCAATACTTTACCTCATTTGGTCTGTATTATGATGTGACAAACCAATACTTTCGTTCAAATAGATGAATACATAGGCAGGTCCCCAACTGCATTTAATAGGTATGACAACACACATGTATTATTTTGTCTAATATTGGGAATATACACTTTTTAAAGTGTCACCCAGTTCAATTGTATTTTGTGTGTATTTCAAATAATAGATAAACATAAACATTAAAAAAAGTGGACATGAACATCTGTTTATGTAAAAGATGAGTAAATTCCCTATCCACTGGTATATAATACGACATGTTTTCATCAAGGATATTAATATCTATACTCGAAATACGAGTGTCCCATGTTTCTGGACCACCTGTATATTCAAATGAGATGGCCATAAAATAGTAGATTAATCCGTCAACCGACAATTGAATTCACGAATGCTACCTTAGAATAAATAAGGGCCATAAGGATGATACGCTAGACTTCCAGAGAGAGAGAGAGAGAATATAAAAGGCAATCGTGATTGTCATGTTATGTACTCAAGAACGAAATGAGAAGGGAAAATATTCTGTGAATTATTTATACAATTTAGATCTAAATCTAGTCTTAAGTCCTTATGAATGTCTTGTATAAACGATCTTCCTTTTACACGTTTGAATGGTTATTAAGTAATGGTACACGAGGAATTAAGGAATAATGAATTAGAAATATAGTTTATTTTTATAATGATAAAGAATGGGATGTGATGGAAGTGTACGATCAAAACTGATGTATCACGGCGAGTGGGATAAGACAATTACGTTTGCTCACCGTGTCAGTAAGGTGTTCAATGTCAAACAAAATTAAGTTACGTTCTTGAACCATGAAAAGAAAGTGATTACTCTTAAAATATGATATTGTTATAAGTCTTTACTTTTACAGAGGTTATGGGTTTAACTTAATCTTTGAAAATTAAAGTTGTTGCATTGTACCTTTCCGAGGTGGTCTGTGATCAATACGCATATTGCATTTGTCATCAGCTATATTGCATTGCTGGTCCACGGCCTTGTTATACATGAACTAGAAAATGTAACCAGTTGCCATAGTTGGATTGAATTACATATCAATTATTGTTAATTGTAGAATATCATATTCTTGAATGATCAGTGCTATTTATAATTCATCTGCAAAAGCTTTATGCTTGTAGGTTTTTGTTGTTGCTTGAGTAATGTTTTTAGATGATTTTAATCCCAATATAAGTAAGGGGTTGATCGGATGAACTTTGAAGAGTACACGTGCAATAATATAAACTATTACCCGTTGATAACACAAACTATATAACGAGATTTATATTTAGAGGATTATCCCATGATACTACTACTTCCCGGTGAATAACACTCTGAAAGGAGTATTTTTGACAATGTGATATGTATTGTAATGTAATGTATTGTCCTTCGGAATAAAACCCATATTGAATCCCTCCCAGTAGATAAGCCCTATTTACCCTATATAAGATTTAGGAGGCCGTTTCTCGAAACTTATCGTTATTAACGAATCGTCAATAGCAAATCGTAGATTCGTTTCTATGGACACCCCATCATGGATAACGAACAATTCGTTAAAACCATGATCGCGAATCGTTAACTTTTGAGAAACGGAAAAATCTTTATTAACAATTGAATTAACGATTCGTTAATAACGAAACTTTCGAGAAACGGCCCCCAGGATATTGGCATTATCCCGAGGGAAAATAATGTGCCTGATCGAGGGGAGTTTAGTTATATGTAGCTGGATCATTCTGGTTTCCTTGGCAGTCAGGGTTAGTCAAAAATATATAACTAGTTGACATAACAACTCATGTTTGTTGGCAAATTATAATGATAATAATCTTTATTACTAGTATATAATATTACATAGTCTTACACAATAGATTACATAACCATTATGTAACTTTATTACACTTAATTACATTAATTACATATGTCAGTAGTTTAAAAAATATATTTCATTATACTTGGCTAACAAACATTCGTTTTATAATATACCTAAATTATAGATTTCCTTTCAGTTGCTTAGTACCAGGTTGATCAATAAGAGAAAACTATAGTTACAGTGGTGACTTCAAGAAGGGCAATATTTCAAATGTCAATCAAATAAATCCTAATATGACGTGCACGGACCTGGGGACAATTCGGGAAATACGGTCTAATCGCTTTAAGCGTTAATATTTGCCTTATTTAAAAAGCTAACTATGTGTATTATATATCATTTTTTAAGTATTTTTTATTCGCATTTCACTGAAATTATTTTTCCTTGAAAAGTATGATAGGATCTACCATATTTTTTAAGTTAAATGTACTCCGACATCGTCAGATACGCTGTAAGGCGTAACATTTCACGCTTACACGGTTCGTTGAAATCGGAATAACTTTTGAAATACTGATCAGAATTTTACTAAAATTTCACATTTTATTTATTGAAACGTGTGCTTTTATGACGTCACAATTGCCTAGCGGCTACAGTTCAAATCGTCTTATATGAACGCTTTTAAGGTTTTCAAAATTGTGTAAGGTTTTGAAGGCGAAGGAGACAAGCAATAAGTTTACCTTTATTTAACCTTCTAATTTAGGTCTGATTTCAAAAAAAAATTAACTGCACAATATTGTCATGGCGAAATTTACAAAACAATAACCGATTTCTTTATTTTTCAAATAATAAGAGAATAAGAGTTGCTTTTAGAGACTTGAAAAAATGTAACGCATCGATTTTTTACCACAAATCCCATACATATCAATTTTTACTAAGGCCCCGAGTGGATTTCCTGACCGTTTTTCAAAAATCAAAAACATTTTAGAAATATTGTCCTCGAGATCTTCTTGCTCTGTGAATTTCACCAGGATTGAATAAGAATAAAGCATCTTATTTTTAGGTTGACTAAACTTGACAAAATGTAACGCTTGTCGTTTTTGACGTTATAATGCTGATAGCGCACTATACTGCCCATTGTATTGTTTTTGTATTTTGACGCTATAATGTTACTCTAATTGTCCCCTGTTTCGTGCGACGTGTATAAACGGTTTTTTAATGTCAGAAAGCGGGTATTTAGTTTTATAAATATATAATATTTTTAGATTGAGATATTACAATAATACAATATTTAAGTTATCCAATATATTTTAAAACACACTCGGCAGGATTTTTATGAAGTTCCGTTTGCGTAACAAAAGTGAGGTATTAAATCGATGATTCTGTTGTCTTCTGAACTATTTGTTCGCAAACATGTAAATATTTTTAAACATATGATACTAACATTCGTTTCTAATAAAAATGTCGTGGGAATTCTGCCGACAATGTGTGAAATAAGGAAAAAACAAAAATCGCACCTTCGAAGTTCCGACATTTTGTTACCGAAACGAACCGTTTACGGTAACCAATCAACTCCATAGGATCAAATATGTCAGTCTTAAATATCTGGTCAAACGGTTTCATTACACAAGCGCATGTGCCAACTCGAAAATATCAAAAATGAGTACAGAACAAAGCAAGATTTTGGGGTTTATTTCTTTGTGACAGACTGCAATTCTTAATACTTTCATTTACTTTTTTGGCTTTCCTTTAATGTTAACCTATTAAACAAGACAGCATTGCATTGAAAACAAAATAAAAAATTTACGCTAGATTTAGGTAATTATAGTTCCCGAATGGTGGAGGAGGGGGGATGCTATACATCGTTTTTTTAATGTTAGCATTGTTTGGGATTTTGGGGTTTATTTCCTTGTGACTGACTGTATTCTTCATACGTTTTGGCATTCTCAAAATTCATTTCGTTCGTTGCGTACCTTCACTACCTAAGGCAAAGGAGGTACGGATTGCACTGGACGAAAGGCTCGGACGTTTTGGTCTTCCTTTTATGTTAACCTGATCTTTTTATTTAGATTCCGCCCAGGATGCCCTCACTGCCTTAGCATACGTTCAGAGAGTTGAAACTGAGAATTGCACTGGCGGAACTAATGAGGTCCTCCCAGTTCAATTTAGTCAGGATGTCTGGAGTGAATACGCGAACGTTGCAGTCAGGACTGCGAACCTCTTATCCAAGAGCCTCACACTAAACGGAGGAACCTTCTCGGCCGACAAGGAGTCGTTTTTGTTTGATGTCGTTAGAAACAACGTGGCGGGAAATACATTGATATTTGGTTCTGCTATTGCTGTAGAAGATTGGGTCTACACTCCTTATCAAACATTTTGTCCATATAGCTACAAAGATGAATTTGTCCACGCGTTTGATTTGTCATTGAGTTATGATTATATGGACAACGGAACCGAGTGGTATCACACGCTCAGGGTAAAGGACTGGTCCAACTCACCCCTCACCAAAGATAAAGTCAAATATAGGTCAACCATATTTATGTACTATTTAAAAACATGTCGTATTGGTCATTTATGTAAATGGTATAATCAATTACAAAAACAGATCTAGACTGCAATGAAAAATAAGTGCCAAACAAATTATGATGAAAATATTGTATTTTAATTTGGTTCATTTAGGTTATATTCTACAGACCATGCTATAGACAATAGTTGATATATAGCAGATAGACATTGGACATTCACAATTATGACAAAATTATTTCAAAATTATGACTATGGGCTTTTAACTTGAAAGCCCTTGTTATGACGAAAATAATATATTTTAATTTGGTTCATTTAGGTTATATTCTACAGACCATGCTATAGAAATTGACTTCGTCCAACCAACAGTTGATATAGCAGATGGAGATTGGACATTCACAATTATGACAAAATTATTTCAAAATTATGACGAAAATAATATTTTTTGATTTCGTTCATTTAGGTTAAATTCTACAGACCATGCTATAGAAATTGACTTCGTTCAACCAACAGTTGATATAGCAGATGGGCATTGGACATACACAATTATGACAAAATTATTTCAAAATTATGACGAAAATAATCTATTTTCATTTGGTTCATTTAGGTTAAATTCTACACACCATGCTATAGAAACTGACTTCGTTCAACCCACAGTTGATATAGCTGATGGGCATTGGACATACAAAATTATGACAAAATTATTTCAAAATCATGACGAAAATAATATATTTTCATTTGGTTCATTTAGGTTAAATTCTACACACCATGCTATAGAAATTGACTTCGTTCAATAGCAGATTGGCACCATGCTATAGAAATTGACTTCGTTCAACCCACAGTTGATATAGCTGATGGGCATTGGACATACAAAATTATGACAAAATTATTTCAAAATTATGACGAAAATAATATATTTTCATTTGGTTCATTTAGGTTAAATTCTACACACCATGCTATAGAAATTGACTTCGTTCAACCCACAGTTGATATAGCTGATGGGCATTGGACATATCCCTACTATGACTGTGGTGGTGGTAACATATGGATGGTGACTTACTCTTCGCCAATATTGATGGTTGATTCTTCTCCACCAGGGAATGTTATATTCAAGTGAGTGCTCTATTTAAATGCAGATTCTTGAAATATGGTAAAGAAAGCCGAAAAGAAAATTTTCTTAAATGCAAACAATAAAGGCAAAAAGAAATATTTTAAAAATCAGAAAAAGAAAAGATCAGTGGTTCAACCCCCTCCCCCAAAAAATTTTCTCGGTCACATAAATTTTTTTTTGGAGATCATGTTATTTTGATCCATTCTTATTCAAAATGCCAGCCTCACATAGGAATCCGGATGAATATAATTTAATGTACTCTTCTGATCTTTAGCCAAGTCTTCAAAATAAAATACAGTTCGTTCTATTATGTTGCTACCTAAGTGAGGTTTGAAGATTATATAAATATTTTTTATTTTAGAGGCATCGCCACTATAGATATAGAGCTGACAAACATTGATATAAACCAGTGTGATCCTGAGGAGTTTACACCAGAATATGTTGATGAAGGTGCTGACGACATATTCCGGGGAACGCATAGCTGTAGAGAGTCTACTAAGGTAATATATTGGTAGAAACCACCGTGCCCTGTTCTTTCTACTGAAACGTATATGAAGTATATTTCATATTCGCTGGGTACGTTATGGGGTGCTTAATATATTATAGATATGCTTACTTGACAATGGTCAACAAAATATGACTGGTTTGTATTGCTTTGTTTTATTTTAAAAAAGAACAACATTATAACAGTCTAACGATGAATGTAACCAAAACTTCAAACTGCATGCATGTTATTCCTTAAGATTCGGGGGTTCTAAAGTTCTGCTGTGTTCTTTGGTCCCAATGAAAGATTTTTTTCTTTCATCGATTGACGCATCGGCATGGACATACTTTTACAAATGTATCAACGCTTTTATCAATGGGGTTGACTCATTATTTCATTCAACTGATCAGTGAACTGTTACAATAATGATATTGTTTTGGAGAAAAGGTTCATGAAGACGAATATCTTACTTCTCATGCACAAATTAAAGACACTCTGTTTGTACGGAGTAGATAGCGGATGTGTGCTGAGTAATAACTATGCCAATTACAAATTAAACTAATAACTTCAAATCGCCTTGTCTGGATGCACTCAAGCATGTTCGACTTTTGTTCGTCAAGTAGAAATACATATATGAGATATTGAGGTTCCAATTCTCTAAAACGGACATCTTATTGCTCTTGACATAGTCTCAATGAACGCTATACCGCATCCTCTATAATCCTTGACTGGTCAGAGGGGAAAATAATCTAGAATTTAAAGATTAACATTAATACATTATCTTATAGTTAAGATTAACCGTTAGGTCTTACTTGTCATGTCATTGTAATTGTCATGGAAACTCAAACTCGCTTGCCAGTTTGATTTTAAATTAACTTAATGCATACCTTGGAGATCCAAATTGTTTAAACATTCGTTTATTCCTATTTTTAGTGTGTACCTGTTAGTGGCCTTGGACTTACACGCGGTGCATACGATTGCTACTGTAAGGATGGGTACTACTTTCCGCATAGCTCTGTAACTAAGAAGGCATTTGAAGGCCTTATGGTGGAGCTTTCTATCAACACAAATGATACCTCACTTGATTTCGAATGCATAAGGTTTGAGCGTTTGTATTGATCGTTTGAAATTGTTGCAGTTAATTGCCGCCCCTTGTTTCTGACTTCTTCACAGTTCCGCTTTCACATAATTGCAGATTAAAATGTTTAGTAATAAGGCATAGTTTTCACTGTTGATAATTGTATTCTACTGCCATGCAACTTGCAAGTATGAGGGTGTATTGTGTTGTAGAGCAATATAATTTGTGAAAATATGCCTTATTATAGATTATTCTAAATCTGAATTCTTCTCTAATGAATATCAATGTTCTAAATTAACGAAGTGATAATGATAATACGACGCTTATTTCCGATGTGCCGAAGTATAGTTGTAAGCACATGAATTATAAAGATTGCTTATGTTTATTATATCAACATATATTGTACCCTTGGTGTTTTGTCGATAACACGTACAAGCCGAGGTTGTGGGGAATCTGGAATTAACATACTAGATCAAAAATCCTTCCTTCCTTAGTTTTTATTTTTCCTTCATTCTTTTACAACTTTTGGTGAAAAGTTGGAGTCAGGGAATAGTATTTGTAATTGTTTCAATTTTAGAATATTTTGGGCTCATATAATTCCTTGTCATATATCTTTTCTAAAAATACCCAAAATATATGTGTTTTGAAGAAAACCAAAGGTTTTTACAATAATGCATTCATTTTTATTTTATATCATAGTATTTGAAATTGTTTCAATTTTAGAATATTTTGGGCTCATATAATTCCTTGTCATACACTGTTGCTCATAAATATGGAATATTAGATTTGGCAGCTCAGAATTCAAAGTTTGGAGTAAGAGAACATTTATTTGGAGTTGGTTCAGACATTTATTTTCTAGGCAAATCATAACCACATATTTCATCTACAAATCAACATTTTTTAGAGAAAAAAATATTCACATTTAAGTTTAGAAAATTACTGTTATTTAAACAGGGGTACGCTAAGAATTTTTGCATTTTCAAAACACCCCGATCCAAATCGTCATGTAAAACAGATCAAACAAAATAAACATCTGGTCATGAACATTGAAGTGTCCTCTATCCAATGATAGCACTAATATGCGTTATGTCCTCTTTGTCTTGCAATCAGAGCATCAACCCTACCGGACCAGCATAGAATGAAACATCTGACCTTTCTAAGTGAAATAAGGCCCCATTCCTCAATCTGGGCAGTACGTAACGTGTCTAAATTTTGAGGTGGGGGTCCAAGTCACGATTCTCATTACCAAGGTCGTCCCACATTTGCTTTGCATTAGCCTGCTTGGCTGACTTTTGTGCCCATGGTAGCTGGTCCACATTGCCTGCCCTGATGTAATCCAACACGATGCCACTAGCATATGCATCAGCATGATCATTCTGCAGTTGAATGTTGCCCCAAAACACTCTATTTGCATGTGGTACTTGATGGAGGTCCAAAATGTCAAATTACTCTTAAATTATGTTTTGGAATCACCAAGGGGGTGCAACGTCTGTAGTACTGCTCCAAACAACCTCTGTAATACTGCTCCAAACATAAATAGGGTCGCCTTCATGGACTGCCACATCAGTAAGTGTCCTTATTGTCTCTTTCCCCTGGTCTACGACAGAAACGAACACAATTATCAACTTTGTGGAGGACACGTCTTATTTCTTCACATGCTGTCCTATGACACCAAAGATTAGGTCCAATGTTTTGGTGCTTTCCTGCCCATTGAAGGCACCTTTCTTGGTCATGATCAGTCAGCTGTGGTCTCTTTAAAGGTCTCATGGCCTTGCATCCGTTTTAAAGAAATCACTGGTTGTCTATAGCTCTGGAACACAGGTTTTGAGGTGGGACAGCCATTCACTTCGTAGACTACTGGTTGACTGATAAGCGATTTTGATGACATAAATGCAGTATGTGGTGGTCTTTTCTTACATTTTTCTCTCTAGGGCCACTATTGCTGTGACCTGGAGTCATATTCCAGTGCCTTTGGTACCACTGCAAAATTTTAGAGACTGTTCCTGACACACCCCTAGGGTCCTGGCAATGGCAGTTTGTTTCATGCCAGAGAGCGCCATCCCTATGACCTGCCATGCTCTTTTTCGCTTATTCTATGGGGCATGCCTTCTAAAAACTCTTCCAACTCTAAATTAAAATTTAATAAAATGTGCATAATGATTACAACTAAGATTTGGACATCTCTTTCAAGTTACCAATATCATGAGGTCATGGGGTCACCTGAGTGAATACACGTTTAATCAACCATAAATGTTTTAACTTTTCATACCAATCAGTTTTATATGCAAAACTGATGAGGGAATGAGAACACATTACAAATTTTCATCAAAATGTTATCATTTTGTAGAAATTCCATCGAACAGTTCGTATCTATAAAATATTCCATATTTATGAGCAACAGTGTATATCTTTTCTAAAAATACCCCAAATATACACTATTTTTGAAGAAAACTAAAGGTTTTTACAATAATACATCCATTTATCTATATCATTGTTATTACCGTTTTTATTATACATTGGGAGAATTAAAACAGTTTTCCCCGTTGGCACCGCATCCTCAATAACTTCACCAATAGAGGCTCTTCCATATAGCTTAATTAAGTGACTCTTGCTATTAAGTTGCCATGTTATTTAGCCCTACCAATACCAATGATGCCCTCTATTTTCCACTTAAATGGAAAAGGGTCAATTCATAACATTTCATGTATCTTTAGGGAGTTGAGATTGTAAGGAATATATTGTTATGTCAACTGTACATGTTGCTTGCAGTTTGTCACTCCCAAAGGAAAACGTTAATGATAAATTAAATGGCTTTATGCACAGAGATGTAAAGCCGAATTTAAAATGTGTGAAAAACTGCTGAAAAATGTGTGATAAAAAGTGAATTCAACTTAAACCTAAGGTATCAGAATACACATCAATGCATTCTATCTTTTTTGATGGGGGATAAAAGAATATCTTACTTTCCCCCAAAACAGTGCAATACTAATGAACATTACTATTCGGCTTGAAAATTAATCAGATTTTCTGTATTAAATTTTGCACCGTGCATCAATGAAAATTCAAAAATGAATGCCAAAAACGGAAATACAAACTTGAGAGCAATATAGAAATCAACAACTTTTTGTTGTTATTATATTAGAATCTACCTAGATTATCAATTAATCTTCATAATATATTCTAAATAACGGAATTTGAGCTTCCCAATAGACTCCGTTCCAAATGACACCCTTTATAATTCACGGATTCCGTTTCAAATTACGCCGTTCGAAACAACGGATCCGGATCTAAGTTCAATTAAACAGATCCGTCGAAGATGGGTTCTTGGAAACGGATGATACGCGTCTTTCCAGTTAACAATAACAACTTAAACACGTCGCAAAATGTTTTCTACCATGGCATTAAAAGATACAAAATCACAAAAACAACATATTTGTGCAAGGGTCAAGTTGACAAAGCATCAATTTCAATATGTGGAGTCATTTTTCATCTTGACATCCACATAAGGAATAACCTTGGATGCACTGCAGTTATATGAAATGCTGTGTTCGGATTGGCTGGAATCGGACACACCTTGCCTAGCCATGTGTGAATTTATTCGTAGTCGTCTGGTCGTATCTTAGAGCAAACTGCGTCTCGTACTGAAAAATTTGGACAGAATTTTTGGATAAAGACTTGTTCTTTGCAGATGTGCGGAAGGATGCGACACTTGTGTCGACGACTCTCCATGTCTGTACTACCACAACATAGCTATTCGTCTCGTAGTATTGGTACTGGTACTAGTCATGTTGGTTCTGATAGCACTTACCGCTATACTCATACGAGTATACAGAGAATATAGGGTAGGTACACTCCCCTCCAATGTCCAAATGTTTGGAAATCGACTTTACTATACCCTCAATAGGGTGTTTCATTTTTCAAGAATGTTCTCAGATCACAACGACCCTTAACAAGGGGTTACAAATGGTCCTGGAAGTTCACTGATTTTTTTTCAACAAAATCGAATAACGTTTAAAACGGCCCACTGGCCATTCTTTCCGTCCGATTGACGCCCAATTTTCAATGGGAAACATAGTTTCGCGCTTTGCTGCTCATTTGCAAGGAATGATTAGAATTGATTTTTCTGATACAGCATTTGGGAATATATCAAAACACTCTCAATTGATGCAAACTAGACTGTTCTTTAAATTCACGAATGTTTTTTCTTTCAACAATTTGAATATTTTAGAATTTTTTTATCATAAAATAACAAAATATCCCATTGCTAAATAAAACATGTTTAAAGAAGAAAAATGGCTGAAATCAATTCTTATTTTTGACCCCCTCCCCCGGGATAGTAGACTGACAATATCTCAGCGATAAAAAATGCGAGAACATTAGTTTGCATCAATTGAAAGTGTTTTGAGGTATATCCAAATGCTTATAATAGAAAAATTTGTTCTAACCATTCCTTGCAAATGATCAGCAAAGAAGTGCGAAACAATGTTTTCCATTGAAAAGTGGGCATTTCCCACAATGTAATCCAATGGGACGGAAAGAATGGCCGACGGACCAGTCTAAACGTTAAAAAACCCTAACCCCCAACTGAGGTATTGTAGTCTAGCTACAAGCCCTACCACATACCTCCCTACAAGTGCAGGAAGGTGTGTAATTAAGTAGTGGGAGGGGGAGGATCGCAGGGACTTTTTAGCTAAACTACGACAAAGGTTACTATTTGCCAAACGTATTGGTTCATTTGATGTTTTTGTTACTTAACAGTACTGAAAACATCCCCCGATGACAGGGCTTCAAAATCCAGAATACATACTTCTTTCTTTTTACCCCCGGGGAAAAAGGAGGAATGGATTCTGGATACCTGTTTATGAGGATGTACTGAAAAGCACAAGCGGTTACACAAAAATAAACCCCAAGATCCCCCAAAATCATCACACGCATAGATAGGCATTTATTCATATATACTATAGTTAATTACGAAAATTAAATGTCGCTCATATTAATATAAATTAGTCACTTCGAGGAACTTGTTATCCATTTATTAATATATGCATGCAATATATCGTGTGTCCAAAAAAGTGAATCCCATTTTGGCAAGTATTTCCTCAGCAATAGATCACTTTAAATTTATTGAAAATTTTTATAAAGTGGCTTTATACAAATATGCAAGAGATCGGTTGCATATTATGTGAAAATTGGCAAATTCAAGTTGGAGTCATGTTACAGTTAATAGACTTATGAACAAAAATGTATCCAACTTGCATTAAATGAGGATTAGGCTTATCTATAGCTGGGAAAATACTTATCAAAAATAGATTCACTTTTTGGAACACCCGATATATTGCATGCATATATTGATAAATGGATAACAAGTTCCTCGGAAGTGACTAATTTATATTAATATGAGCGACATTTAATTTTCGTAATTAACTATATATATAATGGGTTCCAGGAAAAACTCTTATTCTAAAATACACGTGTTCCGAGTGTTTCAGAGTGTTTAGTGCACTTGTTCTAATATTGTTTCACTTTTTAGAATGTATGCAGCATTTTCCCATTTGATAATTAAAGTGCATTTTATATACAATTATAAATTCAGTCACCCGAGATTCATTAATGAGAAAAAGATTAATACTTGTCTGACAATACAAAAACTTCAACGGAGAAATTCAGAGTTGATGTCTAATTGGGCTAGAGAAGATGATGATCATGCCTTTTCATCTAATTTTCTACTCACGACATCGTGCTTTAATCTGACAATAATGGGATAATCATATATAGAGATATGCATTACATGGTACTTTATATAAGTGTGTTGTTGTTACAGGCAATAAGATCGGGAAGTCCTATGTTCTTATATATCATGTGCTTGGGAGCGACGTTGCTGTGCCTCTCCGTAAGTATATGGACCCCTATTCTAGCCTCAGGCCTCCAGTCACCTATTATCTATGCCTACACGATCTTACCTTGTTATATCTTTATAGTCAGGTGTTTTACTTTGTACAATTAAGAAAGAATTGGCATTAAGCTGGATACATGTGTATTCAATATGAGATATATGCGCTACATGTCACGTAATATGACACGTTACACCATACGATTATGCGCGAACGTGATGTTACATCACACGATTATATGCGAAATCGAGCAAATGTAATTTTACATAGCATGATTATGAGCGGAATGTAGTTTTACATCACACGATTATGAGCAAAATGTAATTTTACATAGCATGATTATGAGCAAAATGTAAAGCTACATCACACGATAATGAGCAAAATGTTATTTTACATAGCATGATTATGAGCGAAATGTGATGTTACACCACACGATTATGCGTGAAATGTGATGTAACATCACACGATTATGTGCGAAATATGATGTTACATCGCATGATTATGAGCAATATATGTTGTAACATCATTTTCATTTCTGCTTTCAGATGTTTATTGCTTATCCAGAGCCTACTGGTATTTTGTGCATAATCAAACCTTGGCCACATCTAATGGGATTTACATTTGCATACGGAGCCTTGCTCCTCAAAACATGGAGGTGAATGTTAAATGATGTCAACGATCCACTGACCATATGTGGAACTAGACAAGAGTTTATCATATGACATATGTACGCATTGCTCTGGTGATCAAATTAATGTGTGGCACATGTTCATAACCATTTTTTATATTTCCTCAAAATGACAAATTAATTTATGGCACATGTTCATAACCATTTTTTATTATTTCCTCAAAACGACAAGACGGGACGGGCAGCCATTACGCCTACCACGTCCGCTGTTTATACAAGTTGTATTCACCTGCTTTATATACCCATACACGTACGTCAAACAGATCCAAAGCTTGTATAAAATAAATAATATGTTGATTTCATAGAGTTTCTGCAATTTTCCGAGTGAAATCCGCCAAAAGGGTTAACCTCACTGACAAGGTCCTTGCTCAAAGATTGATCCCAATAGTTGGTGTAACTACAGTGTTTCTAGTTGTGTGGTCGGTGGCAGGCACTCCGACAGTGATGGAGAGGCGTACCGACACAACAGGTATTCACATATTTTGATTTTACCAACTTGGTGGTTATTTAAATCACACGGAATACAACGTGTATCGTTTATGTAATTTTGAAATTTTCACACCATGTAGTGATCCTCAGTGATTACTATTAAGTATATCTATTAGAAATCTAAGTACATATTATCACATATCATATGATGTATGTAAGATGTGATTGTGATTTTGAATGAATCTTAACATGTCATAAGGACAACTTGTTAATATAACTTAAATTAGGGATAAATATTAAATACCTAGGTTATCAAAGTCAAATCACATCGAATCTCGAATATAACAACATCGAATCTCGAAAATATAACAACATCGAGGAAAGACAGACGATAGATAGGTTTCGCACAACGGGTTACAACTAAAACGTATCCGCTATCGCATCTACAATTGAACATTTTAAATGACTTGACGAATGCGTTACGGATTTTAGATACGTGCGTTGAGCTAAAAACGTTGTGCGAAACCTCTCTATTGAATTGAAATTGACCTGTAAGTTAACAAATCAAATGAGATAATGAGGATGTTGTATCTATCCCCATGATGCCATACATGATGATTTGCATTTAATTGTATCCCCATGTTAAATCACTACACTCTTGCTGAAATCCTCATCATATCAGAAAAACTCAAGCTTCATACTATACACCTTTGTAATCCGATCCTTTAATCCAAAATGTGGAATATTTGTGTTAAATACTCCATGTCTCCATGAGGTTGCGAGTTCGAGACGCGTGTGCTCCTTGCGTTTATTCATTTAAGATTACGTTATAATTTAGCGAAAGACGTGAGTTCAATTTCCACTGGGGGATGGACTGACTTTTTAACACCAATTCTTACCAGTTTCTTTAACCAATACTTTCTCCTCAGGGGGAATGGTCCGTGTGATATCAGGAAGAGAATGATTGACAACCTGGATCGAAAGACAGGTAAAACGTATATGGCATTCAGGAAACTGGGCATGCAAGGCATGACTGCAATGCTATATACAGGGTGTTCCAAAAGTAACAGGATGTGGAAAGTCAGCCGGTCCTGGTGCTCAGTGGTAGAGCACTCACTCGGAAGGCGAGTGGTCGTTGGTTCCAAACCTACTGGAATGGACCAACGTTTTGACAACAGCCCGATTTTATACATTCATTATTGAAATAAATATTCGTATAAATCATAATTGGCGAGAAATTTGTTTTTTAAACAGATTTAAAATGGAAAGATTGTGACGATGGTTTATGGAAGTATGGCGCACTTGGAGGGAAAGCAGTGCTGCTTCTCTGGGGAGCCTACTTATGTCATGTTGTGAGGAAGGCGCCTTCCAACTTTAATGAAAGCAAGTACATCACGTGGGCGATCTACAACAATGTCATTCTTGATAGCTTCATGATTATCATCAAGTATGTATACAATAACTTTCTCAGTTAGAAATGAATCTTTTATCATCAAGTATGTATACAATAACTTTAGCAGTTAGAAATGAATCTATTTTTATTTTATTTATTTTTAACTAATTTCTTATTTCAGAGGAGAAGAAACATGATATAAGCAATTGCAAAATACAATTACAATACCGTTACATGGAAAACACAATGTAGATTAATTAGTGAAATAGCGTACTTAATCATACTCAATCACTTAATTATTCTCACTTATCATACTCAAAAACTTAATCATAATCAAAACCTAATCATAATTATACTCAAACCCTAATCATAATCATACTCCCAAGTCAGTATCTCGGACAGATGTACGTGTTGAAGACTATCACTGTCACGGGAGTTTGATTTAGAATATCACCAATGAGCGAGATATACTCATTCAAATTAAAGGACCAATAGAGATTATTGTCTTTATTTATAAAAATGCAATTATGTATGCAATTCAAGAAATATGTTAAGCATATAAGGGGGAACGTTCCAAGTGTTCAAAGGAAGTAAAAATAAAAAGTTGCAACCAAAAGAAACATATAAATGATAATACAAGAAATATTCGTGGCCGTTTAGTTTTGAAATCAATCTCATTTACCCTAATGAACCACAGTACTGCATAGCACTGCGTTGTGCTGCACTGTACAATGAAGAACGGGAAAACATTGTTTTTAGTAATGTGGATCAACTACGAACTACTAAAAAAGAACTGCTAAAAAGTTAGAAAATAAAAATTGCGAACATTGGGTTTTATGACCTTTCCATATTGTGTTGAAATAAAATCAGTGGAATATGCTCCCTTTGTTGTGTGTATGATGTCGAGCAAATCAAAAGATAATTTGCTTTAGTGTGTAGTAGCATGAGAACTCTAATATGCAGACCTGAAAATTACTAGTTATTTTATATTGAGATGTAACAATTTGTTTGGGACCAAATCTGCACCAGGGAAATTAAAATTAAAAGCACATTTTATTGAAAGCCATTGTAGAATGTGTATTAGTCGTTAGTATCAATTCCCGGTGATTACAAGATACAATCGGCGTGTTGACATCTAACAAAATAATATGAAAATGGATAAGTTGATATTTTTCAAATTGACCAAGTTTTCTAAAATTATCAGTAATGAAATCATGCACTTTCCCCAGGTATATTTGGATTAATACCGATAATCAAAACAACGGCATTATACAGACTCTACAGGGTGGACCAAAAACCAATACTCAAGTATGATATGATCATATCATTATATGACATATGTTAATCCAATCCATATGTTATATATTATTTTAAAGATAAATCATTTTCAATCAACAGAACACCATACGATTAAAAAACCATCATTTTCCTATGGAGTTAGAGGCTAAAGTTGACACCAGTGGTGTCATGAGTGACCAAAGAATTATTCACTGCGTGGAAAATGGAGGGAAATTTGAACTTTGGCACCTTCAAAAGAGGGTGGTACCTTTATACAAGTCTAGTGCATAATTCACCCATTATACTTTCACCCATTATATCTTTTTAATTAACTATCAATTGTGTATTACTCGTAAACAAAATAATGATTCAGTCAAGCATATTGAGTGTAGCGGTGACTGCAATATGAATGGAAATTTGGGAATTTTCCTTTTCTGATTTTTCGTCGCTAAAGACACCACTGTTGTCAAATTTAGCCTATAACTCTACAAGAAAACAAAGGTTTTTCAATCGGATTGTACATCATATTGTTATGATAGGATTCATCTTTAAAATGATATATGATTGCAAGGCATGATTTTAGATATATCATTTGAATCATTCATCTATAAATTTGGGTTTTGTTTTTTGGCCCACTCTGTACATAAGTATATTATTTCGATTTGACACCCTGTACTTCTTATATTTTATTGTAGACAGCTGATTGTTGTAAAGCAGGGGCCAGATCTAGTCTACTTGATGCAATTCATTCAGCTGCAAATCTCCGTGACATTCATGATGTGTCTCATTTTCATACCAAAGGTAGGTACATTTGTGCAACACTATGGAGGGTTTATTTTATTAAGTTCTCAAGAGTACCAAATAAAGATTAAACGTACATTTATATTTACTAATGAATTTACATTTGTAAACAGTATAAATGGATTATTTAAAAAGTTCTTAGTAGTCGTAGTACCAAATGAGGATTAAAAATAAATTTATAATGTTTACTAATCTTACATATATGCAACACAATAGTACGAAATTAACTTTTAAGTTCTAAAAAGTAATAAATGAAAATTCAAAGTAAATTTATATTTACTATTATATCCAACAATATTTGTTCATAAATTTACCTTAGTGCAACACAATTTTAAAAGTACTTTTACAAAATAGAGATTCAAAATAAAACTTAAGAAAGTGATAATGCAAGACAGTTACGGATACAAGTTATTTGGGACATCAACCGCAATTTGTACTGTTGAACAAGATATAGAATACTGATAAAGTATAATTAGAACCATGAAACTTACTAGCTGTAGCTTATATTATGTAGTGTAATAGTGTTATCATACATATGGTATACTTTTGTGTATGTTTTCCTTTTTAAATGTTTTGATAAGCATTCGGGGCAACTAGACATCTTCTCCCGAGATTAGTGCCTCGATATGATCAGTCACGCATGTTTAGTTTGCAGCCCTGAAACACGCTATGAATTACCCAGAGCAGGAGAAATCCTTAAGTACCCAGGGAGCATCACAAGCAACTTCTACAGTTGGAGTACTGCAAATCAGTAACAAAGATGTTGCCGTACAAACCCAGGTAAGACAAAAATTCACTTTGAAAGTGAAGCATTGATTTATGTTCTCGAGCATGTCCTTTGCACTGTAATAAAGCTGTCTCATAGGGCTTTGTATAAAAACCTCCTACCTCATACCCACCTACCCAAGCACGTGGGACATGATACAGTCTTTGAAGGGTTCAATTTTAAAGATCTTAGTTTATTAAATCTTAGTTTATGATGAAATATAGATGCATTTGTAACGACCCTTGATAGCAAGTTGCTACTACATCCCAGCTGGGTTCGATTCCCACTCGGGGCATCGAATTTAGCACTCTTTCTTTCAATTTCTTTATTTGGCTTGTTGATCTATGCTCGCGGTCGTTAGTTGTATATTCCCCCGGGGCGCCCTCTGGTCATTACACATTAAAATGCATCCATATGTCTTTATTTAAGGATCTGTCATCTGTCTAGTCATAAAATAAAGCCGGAATTGTAGAAATGTTAATAATTTGAGTTATTTTGAGATTTAATAATCTTTAAAATTGAACCCTTCAATGACTGTATCATGTTCCACGTAGGTGGGTAGGTGGGTATGAGGTAGTAGGTTTTTTATACAAAGCCGTTTCATAGAGAAGTTACACCACAATCTACGATGCTTGGTTTTGAAAGAGTATGGTCACGTAACGTTTGACTTGATTTTCAATGAACCCGAGCTCAAATGTCATGTTAAAGTTCACTAAAAAATCAAATCAGTTGGTAATCGAATACTCAGTTTCATGTAAAAATGTTGAACACATTATTTCAAAAGTGTAAATTCCATCATGCATCATTATTTCGAAAACAAAGGTTTAAAAATATCGCAAAATGACGGGCTCGCATAGTAACAAAAATATTCTCGATCCTAGTTTTGTCGAGTTTGGTGCAGATATCCATGCGTGGCTTATTGAAGATTATTTTGGAAATTCAAACCACGTATTGTATTGTAGAGACGAGGCTCTTTTGCTCCGATTTTCACTACGGTGCCCGGCCGATTGAGTATTTTGTTCAGAAATGTATTCAATTTTGAACAAATTCCTCAATTGTCCGGACGCCGGCCGATCAAACGCAGCAAATGTGACCCAGGCATTATGACGCTAGGTCTCCAATAAATAAAGATCTCTCATCTTTACATCGTTCAACCAATACTTGTGTTACTTATTCCCAAAATATAAGGCTACTTTAGGCTATACGCCTATTATATCACATCACACTTGTTGTGTTTCTTTTCCAGGAGGAACCATCTGTGGCTTAAGGACAATTTATTATGAATCGTGAAGTCTGAAATTGATGTCTTAAATTTGACCCGAATCAACAACAAAAAACAATGCTATGGACTGTGTGTTGGTTCATAAAGTAATGTTACTATGAGTTGACAAGGAGGAAGATCGTTTCAAGAAGTTGTTGAATTCATGATTCTACATTTTCCAAATATGTTGGGGAACACTTCCTACGAACCTTTTAACCGAGACTTGTACGCGCAATGTTGTCTGTGTTCCACTCTAGACCTTCATAAATAATATTCATTAGATTTAGAAGTATTTTCTTATTTAATGATCGTTATTATGTCACTAACTAACATGTATCATTTTTTTCTCAAAATGACGAATACGCAAAATTATGAGTCAGAATAAGATGATTCCCAGGTGACGAAATCTTCAGTTATCAACTTGAATTAATTATTATAAACTATTACCATATTTGTACCTATTTGTACTTATCAGCAAAACATATTATCACATGAACTACTCGATAGAAAGTAAAAAAATAAAAATAGAGGGAATCCAATTTACTGATTTTAGGAACAATTTTTATTTCAATAGAAGAAGTAGCGAATACATGCAATACAATTACAAATCAATGGTACAATTTGTATTTGGCTATATGCATTTATGTCGTAAAATTATAGTATACAATGTTATTTATGATTTGTGAAAAATTAATACAAGCAAATTGAGCCACCAACCGCATTGTTACATGTTGTTCTTTCTTATAAGGTGACGCTATAATTTCACATCTTAGCAACGTGATATAAAATAGTATAAACTTATTTTACATTTAAAAAAGACAAAATATATATATTTAAATTTTTTCCTCAAGCCACTGTTTATGGTGATTTTCACATTTAATGTTCTCATTAGAATATGTTCATATATATTTTTATTAATGGTTATATTCTAGATTATTTCATCTACATACACAATTATATCTAGATTTATATGGTAGCTACATTATTTTATCTACATACACAATCATATTTAAATTTATATGGTAGCTTTCTTGATATAATACGCCTTATTTGGAGGAATTTGGCTGAATGTGTAGATGTGGATTTTAAATGCCTTCAATGGCTCTCGATCCAAGTAAAACTTTTGTGTGGGAAGGCTTGTCTTAATGTTTTGAACACATAGCAAACGTTATCATCCCACACTTGAACAGCATTAATTACTTTATGGACTTGAATTGTCATAGCTAAATGATAGAATCTTTGACGTATACAACCCTGCTGCATTGATTGCAGTCACGGTTAAATGATGACTTAGCGAGTTATCCACAGCGTACAGTGTAAAAGATGTCTGCTTAGTTTCAACCCACTTCATGATGTCACTTCCGCCCGGGTTTGTACCAATGGTAAGTTCATAATAGAGGTCGCTGTCAGATGTAAATACACCTTCCCATGACAACCGCACTGTAGTTTGTTCTAACCAGGCATGAGTCATACGGACGTCTGAAATAAAACAGTACGTAAGTAATTTAATTTGACATCGTCTTATGTAACCCCCCTATCACACCAAACTAGTTCTTACCCGTTCTTGCCAGTCCTACGAAAACGTCGAAAAACGGGCTCAATCTAGCTGTGGTCGGGAAATATGTCTAAAATAATTAGCTCCTTCATTCATAAACAGTCTTCAATACGTCCATCTCATTCGCAGTTCGTTCAGTTTGCACCACGTCAGTGTGCAACGTCGTAAAAGCGTCCATTAGTCTAGGAGGCCATCATGACCTCAGACAGTTCAACTCGTTGTAAAAACGCCCTTAGTAGGATTGAAGTACGACGGTTCCGTTCGTAGTACGTCCAGCTCGTCGTTAGTAGGTTGTCACTCGTTCTAATTGTAGAACGTGACGACCAAGAGAACATTTTGAGTATGTTCTAGAGGACCTACCCGTTCGAGTACGTTCGATGAAGTTTGTAAATACACCCCAAACGGTTCTAAGTACGTCCAGTCCGTTCGTACACAGTTGAAGCCCGTTTTCGAGAACGTAGTGAGAACTAGTTTGGTGTAATAGTATGGTAACGTAGCCCTTGCAGATAATAGGAAAAATATAACTCCATCCCAAAAGAATCTTTATCGCTAGTCATAAGAAATAAACTAGGAAGAAACAAACTAGGATGCGATAAGGTAGCTAGTTCAATTAAATAACGTTTTTTGTTTAATATCCGTATATACAATTGGGTTTTGGAAATTGGATTCTTTCAAGTTTACAAACATTACCTGTTATGTTAGGTGGCAATGTTTCTGTTGTTCGAAATACGTGGACATCATCACTGACACTCCCAACCATATCTACTGCTTGAATCGTCGCCTAAAGTAAAGAACAATCGTCTCTATCAGATAGAGAGACGGGATGATACCATTATATTCACTTTAAGCAATCAATATATTTAGAGACAAATAAGAAGTAATCGCGATATGTAAATAGCAATGCTCTACAAAAAGTATTTATTAAAATGGTTCAATATGATCAATATGACCTTTATCATTTGAAATTCATTTATTTTATTAGTTTAGTTTAATAATAGTTTATTTCTGTGTCACAGGTTTACTAAAATATTACAAGTAAAATACATGTATTAAAAAACCCAACAGCCGACATCGGCTTACGAGACACCATATAAATATACAAAGATAGTCAATAGAAAAATATAACATCGGTATGTCAAATAATATCACAGAGGATGTAGATTAAGTTTGCAGAGTGTGAACAATTCACAGACAAAATGACTAGAGTTAAATAACATACAATATAAACATGTGATTTCAAAATGCAATAAATGAGAATACAGTAATTATGACTGGTTGATAATATTGCACATATTTAATATCACAAACGTTCCAGGTTAAATAAACGTTTTGAGAACATTTTGTAAAGAGTAGCAGCAAGGCAGCTTTGAATATTCTTTGCATGTAGTAATGGAACAACTTTATACCTTATATTGTTGATTTTGTTTGAAGTTCATTGGTCTTACAGTGACTTGCTGTCGTCCACCCTCTCCAAGATCATATGTCGAATCCATACCATTGCCATTAGCTGGTCCAACATGTAACTTGTCAAAAAGAGTGCAGAAATAGAAATAGTTGTAAATCAATTTGACCATTACATATGAGAATAATATTATTATCGCTCTTCTTAATATGGTAAATTCATGGTCATATGCCTATTGTACTTATGACCCATTGTAAAAGTATTAAAATCATATCAGTATACAATTAACATAGCATCATTGCATTTGAGATAGACTAAAACAATTTACCAAATAGTGATGGATATAATTGTTTGGCTTTCGGAATCCATCCCATTTCAAGCGAAGAGAATCTATATCATTCTGTATTCCGTCTTCACACTGATAATGCGACAGTTTGTTTGGCAACGTTTGTATCAGTGCATCTGTTACATCAGGGGGATTTGGTATCAATGTAACTCCAGTTGACGAAAGCTGGTCCCATAGACCACGTGTGTTGAAACAACGCACGGTTGCATAAATCGTAGTACCGTGTGCGATGAACGGGTGCTTGGTAGAAGTAAATACCATTGGATTTCCAGTGAATGCAACATTTGTGAAATCAAGGAAATCGTTTGAACCAAGCATGTGACCTAAAGTAATGTGTAGCTTTATTTTATAAGGAAGGAGCTAATGGTCATTTTTTTTATAAATGCCTTCAAAACCCCTCGAGCCAATTAAACAATGTTTGTGTTGGTAGACTGGTCCTCATAGCGCTGTTGCAAACAAAATCGTTGACATATGGATTAAGCATAATGAGAACCATTAAACTGTGCTACCTGTAGCTGATATTATGTTTATCTATTCATGTTACGAAGCCAACAATACTGTTAATGATGTTCAAGAGCTCCCGAAATTATAATGGAATATATTTTCAATTATTTACCAAATGCGACGTTACAATGGCTAACTGGTGTTTCATTATCTTCGACTTTCCACTTGGCAGTCAAGTCCTGTCCAATCTGATATGCAATATCTAAAACAGTGAATCAAATAACGTTCACGGTTCACATAAGTACACTTATATTTTTTCCTGCAAGTCTTTGAAACATTTTTTTTATCAAACCGGGAACTCATTCGTAGTTTAAACCCTACTAACAATCATATACAGACACGCGGGGCATTGTGAATTACGAAACACGTCACCTCTATCCTGGTTGTGCCATACATGTTTGATGACAGGAGGTGTGTGGTCAATCAAAATCGGATCAGCATATATGACACTTATCAAGCCTGCATTGTTGCGCACCAGAAGTGTCACGTGAACTGTCATGCCGTCAACTAGACGAAGGTTCGTGTTGATTCCATAGGGTTTACGTCCAACGCTGATGAATGATTGAAGCTGGGTTCCACCTTTTACCAAGCCTGCAATAAAAAAAGTTATTCAGTAATTATGGGATTCTTCAAAATCAAACTACAAGGTTAGTCCAACCAAAATCTTCGCAATTAGAATATGCATTATCCCCGCAGATCATTTTGTGTCACGTCTTAGGTGGTCATATGAGTAATCTAAAACATTTTCATGGAATATGATAATGAAATATTAAATGATATGAGCATTTTGATTTTATTTGCTAGGAATAGAATGAATAAATGTCCACTAACCTATTGCCCATGAGACATCATCTATATGACTTTCATAATCTAATACCTGCCAATGTGCATGTATTGAGGACCACTCCCCAGCTTGCTGATACGTAATTTCTATACCTCCATTCGTCGAAATGTGACTCAAATGTTCTATTTTGACGGCATCTACCAAAAGACCAGCATTTCTCTCAACTGTTTCAAGACCCAATGTCGACGTTGTGTTCGTTGCAACAAATGTGTATAGATGTTTATGCCAAGCTATGTGGGACAATGTTTTCGATACCATATTTGAGTGGCCATTGTAATTCCTTGTTATTTCATGGCGTGGGTAGATATGAAATGTTTCCACTGTGCCAGGTATTACCACTTTACCAGTTTGAAGCATATGTTCTACAGGGGGATTGGGAGGGTGGCTAACAGTGAATTGTACTGCATACACACTTCCTATATCAGTTGCTATACTTTGGTGAATACCACCCAAGAAAAGGCAGGCTTGGTTGCCATCGCTGGCTTCACCGTCTTTACTGTTGACTATAACAACCTTTGTACCCGGAGTTGTCGCCCAGTGATGGGGTGGTGTGTTGGTTGAGTTGAACCAAAGGGGATGCTCATTGATGTCAAACGTTGACTCATCTTGTTCGAATGATGGGTTTTGGAGCAGATTAGAGTTTGAAGTTGTCGCATGCATTATGTCTGGAGGAGATATGTCAACGGTTACTCCATCAGACGATACGAGTACGGAACGATGCCCTCCTGCATCAAATGCCTGTACCTTTGTGTAGTATTTACCTGCGTGAGAAAATACAAAATCACTAAAAGCAAGTAATGATGTAAATATACATGCTACATAAATTTCCAATTTTACAGTACTACACAAATATTTCAAGTTATGATTACATGAATCGCAATATAATTACCGGGTTGCAATGGGGTGTTGGTTGTCATCGTTAAAGTTGTCTGTAATCCTACATTATGGAATGGAATTACGTCACATGCTTGATCATCCGATTTACTTCCTACTCCACATCTGTAGTAGTCTATTCCACTGTGACGGTCATAGAAACCATGCCATTGAGCGTGAACAACCATCGTCTCATTGGTGTAGTCAACATCATGTAGAACTGGAATATTTTAGTTTTCATAAATAGTTATTTATTGATTGAGTATAGTGGCTAACAAAAACTTCAAATGACATATTACTAGCATAAATCTACTCACATCTACCATCCAAAACTATTCCAGGGATTGGTGGTTCTATATCAACTGTGAATCCATCTGAAGTCTTTGACGACTCTAATCCTGTGTTTGACACTGCAATTATTGTTGTGTAGTACTTCTGACCTGGTGTCAGAGCCAACCCAGTTAAGCGTACACTTGTTTTAGTCTGCCTCGTAAACGTATAGGCATCGTCAACTATAATATGAATTGTTATACATGTACACAAATGTAGAGACAAAATGCACAACAACTGTGTACCTTGTAACATTGTCTTCAACTAAATGATTATCTTGCATAAGTAAATTATGAATTCCCAAGAAGTAAAATGTCCCATATAATAACTTTACCTTGTAATGCAGTTCCTATTCCTAGCAGATAATGAGATATTCCAGATTCCTCGTCAGAAAATACACCTGGCCAACGAACACTGAGTTTATCAACACTTCCAGTGAAGTCTTTGTCAAATTTAACCACAACATCATCACTTTCCTCTACCTGAAATAAATCATTATTATTTATCAATGTGACAATACATCGTATTGGTTATGACCCATTATTTCCATTATGTACAGAACGATACTAGTAAAATTGACGTTTTGAGAGACGTTCACTGTACAGCCATATTGTACAGTCTCAACTTCTGATTATCCTTAGTTCAGTATTCTCGAAATATTTGTACATATTTTTGCAAGGATAAAAAACTATTTTAAGTATTTGATATCCCAACATTCAACATGTCTCATGAATATTACGTACGTGTCTTATACGTGACACCATAGGTGGTGTAATGTCAATTGTTATGCCATCAGATTGGAAAACTGTGAATGTGACATCATCATACCATGCTCTTACATAGAATATGTATTTCTGTCCTTGGTACAGTCTCTCTGAAAAAATTACAGATACAGCTTGCTATTGTTTGGTACACATACACACAATAGACTAGATGCAAATAGAAGTGATCTTGATTTTCGTTATTAAATACTAAAATTTTAGTCAAAGCTATATCATATTTAAACTATATATGAGGCGTCAATTGCAATGTTAGTATAAAAAAAATCGTATAGTGACCAGACTAGTTTAAATAAAATACAGTAATATGGAGGCACATACTAAAAGTCGGAGTAATAACTGCATGGTTATAAAATCCAGCCTCAAACCAAATCCGGTCATGAGCTACATCAACTAAACCACTTCCAAAGTCACCTTTATCTAACCCTGCTGTGTATTCATATCTAAAATACAGCAAAAATATAATCCTATTTTTTTCACAACTTTCATAATATATGAACACGAACACTTTAATTGTATGAATTGAATTATGTTACTACTGGTATCCTTTAAATCACAATTTTGATTAAGAAGAGTTACACATAAGATAACATTTATATTGTACTACCGAATTGGCATTTTCCCATTCCTTTCAGATATTGTCCATCCTGCTGCCAAGAAACAATCTGAATGTGTAAAGTCGATGTCTTCAAGTATATGGTCTGACTTCTCAAAGTTTCCAATAGCCTGTGTATCATTCACCACTATCACGTAGTTATCACCTATCATATCATATCATATCATATAACACCATCATTATGATTATAATACAATACTTTCGGTCAGTTATCACTTATTATACTTATATCGTTAAGACAACTAGTACCGAATTCAGAAACTAGACGACTTTTAAATAGTATAGTATATTCAACTTAATGGCAATACCTTGTTTTGCTTCTTTGCATGTCTTGTTGATATTGAGATCACACCGTTGATTCTGAGGAGCACATATACAATGTCCTTCACAACTATGTGTATTGCAACGGCGAGTCAATACCAACACTCCCCTACCCGGTGAGTTTTGAATAACATCAAATGAGTTATGAGCCAGTAAACTTGGAAGCCCAACCTTTAATATGTAAGATTGATATGTCTGCATGAACATACAATAAACATATCTACCCAGTCAGACACAATATGTATAACGATTTTGATTCAACAATTATATGTACTTTGTGTTGTATATGTGAGCAGACATTAATATGGACTTCAAAATCACTATTCAAGGTCATAACGACGGGAACATAATTTGGTACAAAATATTTACCCTATTAACCGCCCATATTTTGACAAAGATCTTGCTAGTTTCAACCAGCGTTTGGCTTAGGGTGATATGTGCAGTTTGAATCACACCTTCCTTGTGTTTATGACCAGATGTATTGTGAGTCACTACGATGGGACCATCCTGTTTGTAAAAAATCATAATTTAAAAGGCTAAACTGACACACAAACATATTATTAAAATTTAGATTTTACATATTTAAACATGACATACATATACTTTCTAATTCTAATCATTCTCGTTATAACAAAATTATATGATTATTAAGGTGACTTATTGTATGTTTAACCCAGAATGAAGAAGTTTCAAGCACTCGTATACAATGTTGTTTTAGATATACACACCGGTGTATACTCATGCCCTGCAAACGTCTCTCCAGCTGTTACTAAGTAATGTGATATTCCAGAGTGATGGTCTTCAAACCCAAGCCAATGTAGCGAAATATCAGCTCCATTCCAAGTCATGAATCCATCTTTGTATCTGCCAACCTCTGCAGCATGGTTTGTCCAGCTAGCAAAGGTTCCGACGCTTGGTCTGGATGAATCAACCTATTAAAAATATACTTTCAATTTCAACAATAAGCAAATCGTTGTTTTGGAAATTTGGGTCAGGTTGTAGGAAACCAATTTCTATAAATAAAATAGCTACCTGAGAAGTAAATCTAACCTCAAGGGATACCAAAACAAGGTGTGCTGGGTTATTTCCTTCAGAAAAGGCTTTGCTCAAGCACTATTCAGGTATCGCCAGGGGAAGGCAAAAGTTAAACTCAACAAAAATAAAAAAAATTGTCAAAAAAAAGTTTTTCGATATTTTTATTCTTCTACCCTTTTCCCATTGTCTATTAAAAGAGCGATGCTACTAAGGTCGAAGCATCTGAAGTTTGTGTAGCAGTATATATAAATTCGAAATGGTGATACATTTTTGAGAAAATCTTCGTTTCTACTTGAGTTATGTCAAGTGTGAAAATTAAAGAAATCGACACACATACCAACAATGGATTTGAAGTAGTATTGGAGCATAACTGTGCTTTGTTGCAAGCTACAACTGAGATGTAATATTCCGTTCCATCTCTTAGCGTCAGGTTGCTGAACGTGTAGTGAACACGAGTTCCCACCTTAAATAAACCGAAGTAAGGTATTCAAAATCAATTAAGATGATCGAGGAAGCAAAATAACACAAAATAATTAAATGGCACTTAATATGCCAGGTCAACATAATATCTCGAATACTAGAATGTATAGTACCTTGACAACTCGGTCTCAAGAGTGTCAGTAATTTCTAAAAAAAATTCATTTTGGACGCATTCGCTTACTGTAGCAACACTTAGTTATTGTTTTGGATGACTGTATATAACCCACATTAGTGATTTTTTATTTTTTATTTTTATTTTACTTCACGACTTTTTTGTTTCACGAATTCATGTTTTGGATATTACAAAATTAAAAATTCGAAATCCATTGAACAAATAATTTCACATTTTCTCCATACGTTATGGCTTAGTGTAAACACTTAGTCATAAACATTAATCAGTAGATCTAGGCAAGCAAAATACCTCAACTGTTGGAACTCCAAGATCTCCATCCATGTGTGCATATACGCCAACATATTGACGTTCAATTCCGGATATATTGTCTTCAAATTTCCACTTGATAGCCAGCGAACTCCTCCAAACCTAAAATAGTGGTAGTCGTTCACTCCTTATATACATAAATTAACACCAAAATGATGTTTTTTACTTCTTCACATATTGCAAGATAATTATGAAAAATATATAATCAATCTGATCTAACCTTTCCTCGGAACCTTAAATGTTTTTTGTAAGTTTGTGCTTTTGAGTCACAGCAATACCATCTTCAAGGTGGGTTTTGGAAAGAGTAACATTCAATGTTTATGTTGTAGCATTTTAAAAGAGCTCTGTAGACATTTATTTTGAAGCATACCTGCATGTTTTCTTGTATTGAGCCATGGGCCAAGTCTACGGTTGCAGGTTCAACAACAGTCGGTGGTGTTGTATCAACCGTGAATCCATTACTAGATGCCTCTGCATAAAGACCTGCAGTGCAAACACAAAAATGCAAAGTGATATTCATATTTTGGTGGATTTCCTTATTCAAGCCGAAATAAACTCACAATATGAATATTCTGTTGAGAGTTACATCTACTTCAGGTTCTCACACTTCCCACCAGCTTCTATGTGACTTTGGCTACTATAAAACACATCCCAGTTAGCCACAGCTTGCGAAACACGTATATATCTTTCCATGCAAAATGCTTTACTCCATTAGCAATACTCTTTGTTGTTGTAATTTAAAAAGGAATGTTTACTTGTAACACTCTTGAATGTAAATGTCTTATGATAATTCTACCTGCAAAGTTGTATGCCCGTATTGTTACATAAATCTTTCTATCCACAGGCAAAGGTGTACTTAGAGGTCTGAATGTAGACTCAGTTAGATGTATTGGTGTTGGAGGAATGATATCATATGTTCCTTCTTGTGTTCCAACACGCATTTCATATCTAGACAGTCCACTATGGGCATCGTGGAATCCAACCCAATGGGCAGACAGAACATCTCTGAAACAACCAAAGATATTCAAATGTGGTTTTTGATCAACAACCTTCTATTGTCTATGCTCCATGTTTGAATATTAGTACATTGTTTACAACTGAATTTCTTTGGAGGCCGTGTATCTTACCTTGATGCCTGATATTCGATATCTTCCGACATTGTACCGTCCTCAACAACACCAGCGATGGGAGGAGAGCTATCTATCGTTACACCATCTGTTGACTGTGCTACGCACAAACCAGCCTGGTTGCATACAGTAATGGTCGAAAAATATTTTTTTCCTTGTGAAAGCTTCAAAGAATTCATACATTCTTCTGAAATAAATCAAAGAGACATTATACTTACATATAATGAAGAGGATAAGTGAAAATATGAAGTAATTGCTGGACAAGTTTACCTCCTTTAAGGCCAACCGAATGTTCTGGAACAATATCATCGCAAGTGGGGCAGCTTCCTGCTTTCCAAAGATGTTCGATAAGTTCAGTATGTGGATCTGAAAAACCTTTCCAGTGTGAGCACAGTATGGTTGCATTGGTCTGATAGTCAACATCTCTGTGGTAGTTATCCGTCTCCTGAGCCGTACCATCATATATGTGGCCAGCATTTGGAGGTGACGCATCTACTGAGAAGGCGTGTGAGCTCGTAGTTGTATGCAAACCAACTTTGTTGCATGCCTGAAAAACACTTTAGATTCTAGTAACAAAACTATAAATTCAAAACATTTATGTCAAAAATGATAAAGATCTGTAAATTATGCTATTTTGTTCTTATCTATTTTTAGGGCTACCATTTGATTTAAAATTGATTGATCTCCCTCAAGATCAATTGCATTCTTTTCTTTGCAATACATTAAAATGTACATGTCGAATTACTACATGCACTAAGAAGTTAAACGTAAGCTACTTTGACTGTGACGAAGTAGACATGTCCATCCAAAAGTTCCAGATTCTGATGCGATGTTCCAGATGAAGTTGAGGTATACTTTGTTTGATGTGGACCGCTGACATCGGTAAAGCCAGGTTCTGATCCAATAGACCAAGTGTAATGAAGGATTCCACTTTCTTTGTCTTCAAATACCCCATCCCAACTAAATAAAACAGTAAATTAACAATGGATATCAATCAGGAATATGTAAAATGTGAAGACGTAAGAGCAAATGATAAAAAGGACTAATATTTAATGGTCAATGAGTATAAAATCACAGTTATAAAAGAAGGATTCATCCAGTCATAAGTAAAATCCTGAATATCCCAAATAACGAACACCCGCACAAACATTGTGAATAAAGTATCCCTTATGTGTCGCACCATCAGACCACGGGAACACAGAATGCAAACAAACGCAACTATGTGGCAAAGATGTCAAACCGTAAATATTCCATAAGGTTTGAAATCTAATCATTCACAGTTTATTCATAATGAATTTTTCTCACTCTGCAAGGATCCCTCTTTTCAATGGTCCAACAGGATTTCTGAGTCGTACGTGGGCTTTCTGTGTCAATCTGGGTGAAGTTGCATCTACTATGACTGGGGAGCTGCAAACACTGCTTGACAGACCGACGTAGTTTGTAGCTAAATACAAGCAAAACTAGACTGGTAAAATGTTTGATCGAAAATGTTGTTGTATGATAAGGCTTTCTCAGTAAAACATACTTCAAATTCTAGTATGGTAAGAAGTGAAGTCGATAGGAGGAAGTTGGAATTCAATCCATTTGAAAAAATGCGATCGTGCCACTGTCCCACAATAAGATTTTGAAGTCGATAAAAGTTGACCCTATTTTCAAACACTTAGGCTAAATATAAATGCACGTTGATTTTAACAGATACTTCAATGGATCGAAATTAAGGCAACTATACACGCCCAAATCTCTTGGAAAGTATTGTTCAGTCTCTTTCTAAATGAGCAGTTATTTAACTACTACTATTTTGCTGAAAAAGCTAAGGTATTTGCATACTGTAGAATGTTCACAAATACAGATTACCTTTTATTGTTACAAAATACTCATGGCCGTTTGTGAGATTTAGACCCGTGATAAGATGACGATTTGCAATTCCAACAGTAGTAAACTCGACCACATCAACGCCATAAGCGTGTCCACCTTAAAACATGATTGATATGTAATAAGATATAAACGTGGAATATATTAATAAATACAGTAATGCAGTATATTTATCACTTTTGTATAGACACTCTTAAAAGTACATGTATTTTACAAATACTGACCAACTGCAAACTGGTAGTAGTTGATGCCTTGATGGTGATCATTGGATGACGATGCTACATCATCTGTATCCGAGAATGGTGTCCAGAAGACAGATATTTGGCTTGTTGATGCCTAAAACGAACATTTAATTAATCATATATAGCGTATAACAAATACTGAAATTTCATCAGTATTTGAATTTTACATCTTTTAAATACATGAAGTTTTAAAATTACATTGACACAACAGGGTGACCGTTCATCTCAACCCAAGCCAACTCGACCCTGTAAAACTTAAACAGCTTCCTACGATTGTACATGGATAATTGTATACACTATTTATACCTGGTATCCCTGATTATCAAGTGGTCGTTTCGAGGTATGTATATAAACACTCCCAGTATCAGGAGGAGTCCAGTCTGTTTTTACACCATCACTACAAGCTGATATCTTGGGATGATACTCTTCAAATCGTTCATGATTTAGAACTGTCTCATTTGCAAATATACAAACAAAATAGGTCTTCCCATGAACAAGTGTCAGGTTTTTTGCATTAACATACTCGTCTGAGGTCTCACCACAAGCTATAGCATCATGAGTTTCACACAATTGTGTCGGAATGATTAATCCTTCCAATGTTCCAGTTGTTGGTTGTACAACTACCCAGCTGTATTTCCCATGGCGTAATGATGGCCAAACCGCCGATATTGTGTCTCTGCTAGATGTATAGTCAACGTCATCATGTTCCAGACGTTGATTTTTAATCCATGTGATAGGTCCTAAAATTGAATTCTGTACAGTATCACTTAATGATATAGTATTTATATATATCACTAATTCTAAACATTACATTACATAACACTGCAAGAAAGAAAACATTGAAGAGCACAATCACCCGTTAGGAAAAGTGGATACTCTCAAACTTCAGAAAAGAAAGGAAAACTGGATACTCTCAAACTTCAGAAAAGAAAGGAATACAAGATTTAACTCACCTTGCACATCAAACACAACCCTACCATGTATTCTATTAGTATTGCTGTTTCCACAAGTTACAACTGATTTGCATTTCGTTGATGATAAACCTGCCAAAGTCCACCCACGAACGCAGATCAACCAACATTTAGTTGTTTCGTTCGCACTTGGAAGAACATTCCCTAAAGTAAATGCAATTTGACCATTTATTGGATGGGCCTGTACTTTTTCCCATGGCCTAGCAATACCATATGCAGATTTATCCAACGAAAATGTCCATTTGTAAAAGTCCATCATGGAATGACGTTTTGACAAATTGGAATCAAATTCATCAAATACAATTGTAACGTTTCCCCTGTCTTCATCGCTTGTGATATTCATTGTACCAACTATTGGTGGTTCATCATGTATTGTAACACCATCAGTGAAGCGTGGAAGAAAACATGATGCCGGAGTACAACATTTAACACTGATCCTGCATGTTGATCCAGATGTCAACTCTAAGTTGGTCAAAGTGATATTGTCATAAATGGGTTTTATGTCTTTGTACGGGGAATCAGGTATCCACACATTTGTATCTAAAAAGTACGATATTAATGGTAATATAAAAACAGAGAAGGATGAAATACCTTATTTTGATCAGATTTGATATTTAATTTCTGTTTAATTTTTATCGATCAACTGTGAGAACATTAAGACCATATTTCACTGACTTTGGGCTGACTATTTTGGTTACCATAAATCCCTTAATGTTATTTCTCACCTTCATTGTATCGCTCAATTCTGTAAGATCCATGACTTATGTACGCCTTATGTGTCTCTGGTATCTTCCAATGAGCAGATAGATCTGTTCGACTAGCTTGGAACATTATGTTATCTCGGCATGGGAACTATAACAAAGGTGTTATTTTACATTAGGATTTTTCACTACAGCGCGAATACAACGAGACAGAAGGCACTGTTCTATTTTCAAACACAACGCTATGTCTTTTAAATTGAATGGTAATGTGTGCAAAAAAATTGTCTGTGACATGATTTTAGATTTGATTCTTTATTAACTTTATTAGCTGCTACCTTATGCTGACTAGAGTCGCTCATGCCATAACACCCTAGTCCATCTTTGATGTCAATAGCTATAGTTCTGTTAGACGCTACAACTGTCACACCATCTGAGGATGAATTTACAGAGCCGGTTGAAGACTGGGCAATCACTGTGATATAATATTTCTATAAGCGAAAAAATAAGAAAAAAAATCATTATTTGTCTAATTCTAACTGGTGTCCGACCAATATGTTGGCGTACATGGATTGTGATTGAAATAAAATAAAATATATAGATGTATTGACATACCGTATACGTTTCTAAACTCAGTTGTTTTGCTTCATAATGGGTGTCATATACATCTACAAATGGCATGACATTATCATGTCCTTTTAGCGACCCTATCCCCATCTTATAAGACACATTGAGATGTGGATGTTCGAATCCAGTCCATCTTCCTCGAATGGAAGTAGATGTCAGTTGATAATCTATGTCATAATCAAGTTCAATCTGGAAAAGTAAATAATACAGCATATAATTAGAATAAAACCCTTTCCAGTATCAAAAATGAATGCTTTTTACTGTGCGTCTCATCAACACCAATAGAAATATATTTGCAAATTAACAATAACATGATTATGAAACATTAATTTTTAGCTTTACTCCACTATTTTGATTATGTTATCGTAAAAAATAGAATATGGTATATGCGTTGACAATTTCAAATGTACTAGCTTACACGTCCATCACTTACCTCATTTTTAACCTCAGTCTGTGGTAGAATATCCTTCACAATCCCGACATACGGCAAAGTGGTGTAATGAACGTATGGCTCAGAAGAAGCGATTGTTGAGATTCCAGCTGCATTTTTTATTTTGATAGTAATAACTAGTGACTGGGGACGGACAGGGTGAATATTCAGCAGACTGAGAGGAACTGCTGTACAGTTATAGTGAGACACATTGCAGGAACCCCCAGACATAATTGGAGAAAATGGAAGTAAATCTCTTTTGAAACGGTCTTTCCCTGTAATAAAAGAATAGATAGTGACACTGACCAAACAGAGTTATTGATTGCATTTGATTGATTAAAATGCATGCCATTTTTTCCTTTTCACTGAAATCTACAATAATTTTATTACCAACTGCGAACAAATACTGCAATTTCTCTGCATCTTCCGCATCATAGACTTTAGATGAATCCCAATTCACTCTCAAATAGTCATGTTCTTCGTACACATGTATTTCACTCTCGAATTTAGGCCCAGTAACATCTATGATCAAAGGTCCATATTCCTATGTGTATAATGTGAAAATTGAAAGTTAAATGGCTGTGAAAAATATCAATTATGACAGTTCTGCACTGAACACTAAAGTAAGTTCAATTATAACTGTGTGATATATCAATTTGTATCTATTTTACAAGGTTGGGAGTTTACCTTTAGAGTTGTCATTTTTGCCCTATTTGTTGCCTTAATGATGACGTATATAAGCTGGCCTTCAGATAGTGGAGGGTGGTAAACGTTCCATGCTGGTCTTTTGTTTGTTGATATAAAAGGCATTACATCAGGGGCAAGTGGCGAACTCGTACTGCTCAATCCTAGTTCAAAATCGAATATGTCCGATTCTGTGTCAAATCCTGTCCAATTAATTCGAAGCTACAACATAATATATTGAGTAAATAGTCCAGTTGCAAAAATATTCTATTAACCCCCTTTTCAAGGGTGGACATACAGACCAGATGTCTAATTGATGACCACTACAAATGTGAATCAAGAATGTTAGTAAACGATACAAAACAATATTTAAATAGACATCAAATTCTCAACGATGATCACTATACTATTCTAATAAGATGGGATTTCACACCTGTCTTTCTTGTGTCAGATAAAAGC